CCTCTTCTGCAAGCCTCTTCTCTTCAGCAAGTCTCTCTTCCTCAGCAAGTCTCTCCTCTTCTGCAAGCCTCTCCTCTTCTGCAAGCCTCTCCTCCTCTGCGAGCCTCTCCTCCTCTGCGAGTCTCGCCTCTTCTGCAAGCCTCTCCTCCTCTGCGAGCCTCTCCTCCTCTGCGAGTCTCGCCTCTTCTGCAAGCCTCTCCTCCTCAGCGAGCCTCTCCTCTTCCGCAAGCTTCTCTGCTGCTAGTCTTCGCTCTTCTGCCAATCTGTGCTCCTCAGCGAGCCTCTCCTGCTCCTCAGCGAATCTTTTCTCTTCGTTGAGTCTTTCCTGCCCGGCGAGTTTCTCCTCTTCGGCAAGTCTTTCCTCTTCGGCGAGTGTCTCCTCCTCAGCGAGCGCCTGCTCTTGTGTAAGCTTCTGCTCTTGGATGTTCTCCTCAGTAGCTTGTTCACCTGCAATGTCATCCCTAAGGGACTGTTCCTCCGCGCTTCCCATCGTTGTAGTCGACTTTGTGGACCGAGATGCCGGGCCCATAGGAGGACGTCTCTTTGGGCCTCTTGCTCGGCCTTTCGTCATATGCAAGAGCGGTGCCGAAGGTTGTGGCTCCTGCTGGAATGGGCTTGCTGTCGAAAAGCTGCTAGCGTCGGAGTACGGGGCTGTTGCAGGACTGTCGCCAATGGCCGGCGGCCCGCGGGACAGAAGTCCCGCTAGGGCAGGGTTGATTCGGCCTGCAAGTCTACTTTTAGCAGCGGTACTTTCAGCCGCAGCAGGCGCATTTGAAGTATGGTCCGGTTCCACCGGAGATAGAGAACGCACGGACGAACGCACCGAGTATTGAACTGACGAACGCGCCGAAGGGATGTCCCTATCGCCTTGGGTTTCTCCTTGACCTTCCGTAGTTGGCTTCTCCGATTCGGTATGCAAGGGAGAGCTGGTCTCGTGGGGAGCGTTTTCTTGGTCGGGTCCTGCGGCTTCTGGATCATATTGAGGTTCGTCAGGTTCTTCGGGGCTATGAGGCACTTCGTTGTTCGCGTGGACATCCGACCGAACGGGGGAGAGAGTCAGAGGCTGAGGCTCCAACGGGGTCGGCGGCTCTTGCGGTGATAGCGGCGAAAGTGGTGAGCGTGGAGACAACGCGTCAGTAGTGGAGAGGTTGCTTCTAGAACTGATAGACTTGGTCAAGTTGTTCCTCTTTGCAATCGCCTCTGGCACGAACGTCATGGGAGCGTCCATTTCTCCTGCAGTATTCCGCCTGGCTGAGGCCCCATTAGTTTTGATTGCTTCCTTTTGTCTGAGTATGCTTTCTTTGAGATCATCGACTTTGGGCGATTTCTGAGGACCGTTTGACGCACTGAGCGCCGCCTTGCCTTTCAGAATATTCTCTTTTAACGCATCTGGGGGGGTGTAGGTCGATGTCCCCGCCCTTTTCAGCTTTCCGAAAACGTTCTTGAATTCGGGCTCCTCCTTGGGCGCTTCGTCTTTGACAATTTCGCGGCGCCGAAGGTTGGCTCGGAAATCGATCACGGCGGGTTGAGGCTTAGGTCTGTTCAAGAGCGGATCGCGAGTCGGAGAAGGAAGAGGCATGTCAAGTACAGTCTTGTTGATCGGGCTCAGATTCGATGGGATCCGTGCGTGCTTCTTGACACCGTCATCTGCATGTTCTACTTCTGTGTCTGTCTTGGTGGGAGAGTCCACGCTCTCCTCCAGAGGCGCTGGCTCATTGTCCTTCGTATCGAGGGGCGGCTGACTCTCATTGGGCAAAGAGTCCGGCTCCTCCGTGGGACCACTTTCCACATTGCTGGCCTTCGTTTCAGGAGCAGAAGTTAAGGCATGATCCACTGGGGCAACGTCCTGTGGCTCGATATGCGCCGTATCATGTTTAGGTTCAAATACCGCTTCGAATCCTTTTGGCGCAGGCTCCAAAACTTTCCCATTAGTCCGGCTGGACTCCTTCAGGGCGGGGGACAAATCGGTGGCAGAGTCATCCTGTTTGAGCTTGGTTGCATCGGGTACAGAGAAGAGGTTGGGAATCCCAGACACACTTAACGATTTAGAGTGAGCACCAGGAACAGCCGTTCGCATGAGGCCCACGGGCGTGACCTCTTTGAAACTAGAAGTTCGACCCAGATCCACACTGCTCCGCAAATGCCTTTCCCTGACCCATGACGGTTGTTGAAGGGACTGCTGTCTCTTGTGTTTCGGCGAGTCCGGAGGACGATTCAATGCACTTTCCAACCAGCTGGCCTTGGTTGGACTCCATCTCCTAGGATCCATAGTCCTGGGAACGACTGGACTCGCGGTAGGCAAGGAACTTGATTCTACGCCCCGTTCGACAGAGCTAGCCGACCGCGTATGAAGGCTGAGTGAGGGCCTGGGGGATCCCTCCTCAGCCAATGCGTTGCTTTCTCGCCTCTCGGGAATAGGAACTGGTGGAGTCGCTGGTCGCTCGCTGTCTTTGGCAGGGTCAATGATCGTCGCCTCACTATGGCTCGAACCGGGCCGGTGACTCGACGTAGGTCGATGGCTTGAAGTCGGCCGCTGGGATGCAAGGGGTGGAACTTCGCGGCTCAATCTATACGAAGGCGAGCTTGGGAAGGTTTCATTCCCAACAAAGCTGTTACGGCTGCTAGCAACCGAACCAGGCCGGCTAAGGCCCGTAGGAAGCTGAGCACTCCATCTCTTTGACACACTATCAGATCGCTTCATCATGGCGCTCTGCACAAACCCACCGAGGCCCTTGGTCGGCGACGTTGTCCGTTCGGGAGATATCCTTCTCGGAGAAGAAAGAGACATCTGGTCCTCCAGCACTTCTTCGGGCTTGTGCAGCTCCAGCTTTTGAACATTTGACAGGGGCAGAGGAGAGCCAAGTCCCGTTGCGGTGGAGACAGAAGAGACACTTGAATAACGGTGGCCCAAACTACTTTCTGCGAAAGTCGAGCTGGCTCTTGATGGCGATCGGGATCGTCCCTCAACGCTCTCCAAGTGATCAACTTCCTTTGTCGGCTCTGGGGTGGAATCCTTTCCGGCCTCTTGCGGCTTGTAACTGGCTTCGGACCCCGGTGTTACTGGCCTGTCTTCCTCCACGTATTTGCTGCGAGTCGGGGAAACGCTTCCCTCTCCGTGACGCGCCCACGACACATCCTTGAATGTCGGCGAGGATGTGAATGAGTTACGGGAGACACTTTGCTCGTCTGTCGAAGCTGTAGATAAAGCTCGCCACCGAGACGGCGAAGACGAAAAGAATTGTCGATTGCTGTCGCGAGATGTCGGCCTCTGCTGCCAGGATAAAGTTCCCGTTCTACTCCGCAAGGGTGAAAAGGGCTTTGATGGTATTTCGCCCTCGACTCCGGTCAGTGTGGATCCTCTCCGGCCGCCGTCCGTGGTTGTCGATGTGTCATCCCGAATGGATTCGGGTCTGCTGCCGGAGTCATGACCCGGCGTGTGAAAGGTTGGTTCGAGGTGTTCAGGAGGGTCAATTGCGCGGTGGCTGAGAGTTGAGGATATGCTCAATCGGGCCGGATCTAGAATAGGGGAGTCCTTTGTGGGAGAAATCGATCGCGCCCGTTCTGTTTTTTTTAGAGACCATGCACAATCAGTTTTCGGACTCATTGAGCTGAGGACAGCGAAGCGGGCACAATGACGGACGGGACTAAGTATCGGTGATAAGGGGAAGGAAGGTGGATAAGTACCAGCTCTGCGGGCCTGTCTCTCCTTGCGCCCCTGCAAAATTTCCTCCTCTAGCTTTTTCGTGCGTTCCTCGTCCTCCTTATCGCGCTTCTCTCCTAGTTCCCGAATGCGCAGAAGAAAGTCATTGACATCTTCCGAGCTGTCGAACTCTGTCGTAGGAGCCATGGCTCTCGAAAGGCGAGATAAATTCGGCCAATACCAGGAATATGGAAAATTGATGCGAGAAGTGAAATCGAAGGAGAAAGGGGTCAAGCTGTCCACCAGGAAAGAAAAAGGATCCTTTCAAACCGAACAAACACCGGGCAACGACCTCTTGTAAATAAAAAAAAAAACGGTGGGGTCTTCCTAAGGACAAAGGACAATCAGGAGGGGAACCAGATCGTATGCGAAAGGAGGGGGGAGGGAGCAGAGGCGAGGGAGGGAGAAAGGAAATATGAATTGGGCGTTTAATTGTGGTCGTGACCTGTGAGTCCGTGAGGATTGAAGAGTTGGAAGGAGAGTTGGATGAGGGAAGATGGATGGAACAATCAAGGGAAAGGAACTCCCCGTGTCTCGCCGCCCCGAGGCGAGCGAGGATCGATTCGCATCCGACGAGGAATGAACTACTACTGCTACTGCCACCAACTTCCTTTCTCTTACATCCGGTTGGGCCTCTCCGCTACGAACTCACTTACTGACTGGCAATCTGCTAATTACTTTGTGAGCTGACCTGGTGGATCCAACTTGAGCTGAAAAGTCCGCAAATGATAATCATCTTCTCACATCATCATCATCTGCTGCTGCTGCTGCTGCTGCTGCCACCGCCCCACAATTGTTCTATTAGCAGGTGAGGCGCATGGGAGAGAGACAGGCGCATCAGCACTAAATTATCCTCGACAAATAACTGTACAAATGTTCGCCTCTTGAGGATCCTCTCAGTACTCTCTGCTTGGCCATCTTCACCCCCCCTTGTCTTGTTCCACCAGCATTGACTGGCACGTTTTTGTGTTGTGATGTTTCTCGACACGGCAGATTGTTTACCTTGTTCCCGATTTCGGGTTTTACAGTGGAGCCTCTCTGGAGCACACAGCACTCCCTCCATTTCTTGAGGATTGTCACAAATGTCCACAATCCGGTTCCTGTACAGTCCGCAGTGTGCTTCAAGTACCTACTAATTTCCGTCGCGATGAGACAGACACTCTCCCTCCCACCCTCAGTGCAGTCCAATCCTGAATCCCAATTTCGATTTCGTCAGTAGAAGATCGGATCGGGGTTCCAGGAAACAACCCCCCCCCCCAAATCCATGGATGAATCTGCAATGGTTCAAGGGATTTTCTGACACTGATTGACGCGGCCGGCATTCCAAGGCTGCAGCAGCAACTGCAAGCCAGCGGCTCCGAGTCCGAGTTCCCCCCCATTCCCCTCCTTGAAGCGGATGGCCGCCGCCCCGATCGGGCAAAACCATTGACGTAAGGTTGTTTTTTAAACTAACGTAGGGAGTCGTTAGTTACTAAGTTACTGTATTACCAGCAAATAAGAAAAATCCTGGCCCTCTAGCTACCTACCAGCTAAATTTGAATAACAGGCACCGCCTAAGAGATCGTGGACCCTGACAGACCGACGAGTGTTTGATCGTCCATCCGAAACTCCCGACAAGGCCACACTAAATCGGCCCCGAGCAAGGAGCCGCAAATGCATCATACGGAGAGTACAGTCATACACAACTGCAGGAGTAACTGACAGTACGGAGTACACGGTCTCCCTCCAGCTCTGGCAAGGGCTAATGCTGCTCCATCCCGTCTGTACATACATGAAGGCTAGGGGCTGCATGTCATTCCGATGTCAGAGTTTGCCTTTATTTACAGTATTCTGCAGGGTCGAAAACTGTCCTGGGCGTGGAGTGGCTTCATGGTTTGGCCAATAGGCCCAACCGTGGTCGTAGTCGGGCATCGCTGCCGCCCGCGGGAGAAGAATACATAATACTATCAGGCTGCCAACGATATTGCAGTTTGGGAAAAAAAAAAAAAAAAAAAAAAAAAAAAAAGACTGCGCCCTATGTATCTCGAGTAATAGTAACTTTATTGTAGAAATCAGAATTGAGGGTATTTTCTTCGCTCGCATCGTGAACCATCGTCGGCCTGCAGAATGGGTAGGGTACCTATAGTTGACTAGTATAGAAAGAGTCGATCCTTGGCATCCTGCACCACCCAATCCAACCCTTCGTGTAAATTCTTGCCAGTCATGGCACTGCACGGTAATATCGTCCACTTGTGCGTTTTGATTGAGTCCAAGCTCAGCCGCTAGAGTCACATGTAAAGTCAGAGACGAGAACGCCCCAAGTGAGAGCGTAGAGTCGGTGGAGAGAGAGAGAGAGAGAGAGAGAGAGAGAGAGAGAGAGAGAGAGAGAGGGACTCAAAACTCACCTCCCGAACTTCTGCCTCAGTCATACACCCATCCACATCAGTCTTGTTCAAGAAAATCAACAGACTCGCTCCCATTAGACGCTTTTACACGATAAGGAGAGTCCATCCAATTAGCCAGGCTATGTTGAGTGCCTTCCACTAACGAAGGCGAGCGGAGGGGAAAAAAAAGAACGTACTTCTTCCAGAAGCAAACCCGCCAACTCGGTTCGACAATCATCCACCCGAAGGCGATCGGTCGCATCAACCACCCAGACCAACGTATCGGTCTTTTCGAAGTAGTTCTTCCAATACGATCGGAGCGTTTTTTGGCCTCCGACGTCCCCTTCAATTATTCTCGAGTTAGTCACCGGGTTAGAGGTAGAGATTGGGGGGTTCAGAGAGCTTACAGATGTTGAGACGATATCTTTTTTTTTTCGCGCCCGGTACACGCAGATGATTAGCTATTGAGTTCTTTACTTTCTTCGATCGATGCAACAGGAAAATTATCTACCCTTGGAACTCGATGGTCTTGATGATAAAACCCAAGGTTGGACTGACGGTGGTGACGTCCTCTTTCATGATCTGTTTGACGATGGTCGTCTTGCCGGCGTTGTCGAGGCCACTGGGCGCGTCAGCTATTTTCCGGGTGCCACTGAGAAAGGCCGCGGTGACTGCACTCACAGCATGAGAATTCGCATCTCCTTGTCCTTCAGACGGGCCTTGCGTAGAATCGATAGCATCTTGGCGGGTGGGTTTGTATAGTCTGTATAAGGGTGATGTGTGTGGTTGGGCTTAGAGAGAGGTTGACGGTTGGTTTATCGCGGTTGGGTTGTAGACCATAGGCGAGTACGGAGTTCACTGTGTGGTTGTGACTCTGCGCACCACCCCAACACGGTTTGATCCACAACACATTGCTTGATTTCTCAGTTCTGGGTAGTCTGGGCATAACAATGTATAGGTGCTGCTATACGACACAAGTTGTTGGATGAATGGCTCTCACTCCAGCCACCATCGCGCTGCACGTGACCCGCTTGGTATACTGTTGAACGCAGACCAATAACATCAACTTCGCTGTATATCGTTTGATACGAGCACTCGCACTCATCCAACGACAGCAGGAGCTGATCTCATCATCAAAGTTATTCTAATATTGTTGGAGTTTAATTGTTTTAGTTGTAGATGTCCTTACTAGGTAGTTGGTAACTTCATATTTCGTAATCGAAGCCCCCTGCCTTCACCTTCGGGTACCCTGTGTAGCTTTTCGTAGTCACTGAACTGCGTCTGCCTCAAGAGTAAGCTTCTTGGCCTGGTGCATCACTAGTGATAGTGCCAGCAAGCCCGTCTTCTGCTCTTCAAAAGCCATGTGACGGAAACTTGAGACACAGTTGAGATGAGCCTGTCCAGTTTCATGATTATTTTGGGAATGACATTCCCACACAAAGCAAAGACAACCAGATATGTTCAGCCGTGCCGGAGATGAAGCTGCAGTGGACCACCATGTCTGGCCAGACCGACGATGTTCAATTTCCGAGCGAATCTCCAATCAGACCAGTCGAATATTCACATCTCAGCTCTGTTGCCCTCCAGCTCTGTGCCTTTACTTTAGGGTCCTGACAAGGAAAGTAACACGTGACTTTGCAGCAATTCACCAGTGAACGCTACAGCCCACTATGAAAAGCAACCGGAGACTGACTTGGATCAAGTTATAAAAGACGTGACGACCTGAAGGAGACCTGGAACCTCTGCCATAGGTTCACCTCAGAGTGAGGCCACGAACCGCACGGACGATAAACTCAACCACTACTGCTTCAGCCTGCGCCCTTCCTCTTCCTTTTCTTCTGGGTCTGCAAGTGGTCTTTATCGCTTTTCCCTGACGCAGAGAGTGACTGCCTCATCTTTAAATACCCCTATCGCACAACAAAAGATAGAGTGACACGCCGCCCTCTTGTGGAAAGAAGTCCTGTGCTTGGTCAACAGTCTCACCTGTCTTGCAGCTTTGTACGGAAGACTGGAATATATCAACTTGTGATATGATTATTCGTCTTCATCAAGTCAGCAATTTGTCTTCTTCATGCAGATTCCTCTCCATCTGTTGACTGGGGAACAGAAAACATTCGTTGTTGACACTTCTTGCCACAACATTGAGCACATTGTCTTCTAAAGTAAGTTCCTAATCTTTGTGAACCGTTTCATTCACCTCTAATGGCATCAACTCGAAAGACTCAGGATTTTGTGTATTGCTGTCGAGATATTCCTTGTTCAACACAGCACCGAACATAATCTTTTACACCTAAGTAGGTTAATCTTTCACCAAGATTTCCTGCTTCGTTGATCAATATCAGGCTAACCTTGCGCCATTCTTAGACAAGATAAGGACGTCAATTTAGCCTTTTGAAAAATGACCAGTCCGAAAAGGAATGGAAGAAAACCATTCAGAGGCCGCAATACGACACCTTGGGCTACGAACAAAGGCGAACAAGCTGCCAGAACTCCGCCCAGTGCGCAGCAGGCCAGCGACCTGCGGGGGGGTGAGCAGAGGAACAGCGATCATGGCCCAACAAGCCCTCAAGAAGGAGAGCCGAAAGTGCCGCCACGTGCCCCTTCTGAAGTGAGAGCCGAGCTCAAACGTCTGCAAGACGAGATCATCCAAAAAGCCTACCTGAATCTAGACCGCATCACCGATCACGCGCAAGTAGCTAGCCCTGAGTTGCTTGCTGACTGGAGGGTTGGACCGGGAACCAACCCCGAGTCCGCTCGGTACAAGTTTCTGATGCAACGGCGTAGCGCTGGGCAGATCGAGGCAGATCTCAGACCTCCGGCCGCACCCCCTGTGGATCCCGCCTTGCTCGTGGAGGAAGAAGAGACAGGAGAGAAGGCTTGGCGTCACGGTATCACCAGGGACGACCCTGTGTTCCAAGCTCAATTTGCCTCGCAATTTCCCCCGTACAGAGACTCCGAGTCGGTTTACCCGAAGCTGGTCGATGGGAAAGTGGTTTTGACATCAGAACCTAGCAAGGAGCAAAAGGCAATGAAGGAGAGACACATGAGGCGCGACAAGGTGGATCCTGTGTCCTTTAACGACCCGCCATATGACAATCCTTATTCAATGTACGCGAACTGGGACTATGCCCCTCCAGTCGATGCCGACAAACTGCAGTGGCGCCGCTCCTTCGATGCTTGGCTTCAAAGAGCACTCGATTCCGCTCGTCTCGTGGACATTAATCGCAAACCATTCTTCTCGGGGAAGGCCCTGCCCGACGGGACCCACGAGATGTACAAACCCAACTGGTCATATGAATGGACCTGGCCGGATCCGAACGACGAAGAAGGGCGGAAATATCAACATGAAACCAGCCAGGGCTACGTCGACAACCGACTGGTCCGGATCAAGGAAGACCTGGAGGTGGAACGCCGCCTGGCCAACGAGCGACTGAGAGCCGACATTCAATTCTATAAGCGTTATCCCAAGCCCGGCGAGACACGAAAGGATCTGTATCTGCGTCCGGTCGATGACAAGGACGTCGAGCAGCTTGCGCGCATCTTCACTCATTTCTCTGAGAGATCCCCGATGAGCCTGGACGTTGGGGCAATAAGCGAAGAGATTGTTCGCACTCGCATTGCAAGTGTCAAGGAACATCGATTGCCATTCATCGTGGCCGCAAAATACCCTGTGCCCGGCGAGGACTCTGATGCGTCTGAGAAAGTCCTTGGGTTCGCGCTTGCCGTCGACCATGATGGGCCCTTTACCACCGGCCAGTTCACGGTCAAGCTCGAGTTCTATATTTTGCCCCGGGAGCAGCAACACGGAGTGGGAACGTGTCTATTAGATAAGATGCTTTCGGTACTGGATGACAGGTACACCCCCAAACGAGGATACCATTTCCGCTTCTCGCCCGAAGATGGCGCTGCCTACCGTCCCGGGGGGTTGCGAAACATGGCGCGAGTGATTGTGACGTGCAGCTTTCCCTGGCATGAGCGTGATCACTATCAATATATCCGCACCTGGCTGCAGCGGAAGTGGGGATTTACCGAGCAAGGCCACTTGCACGGGACGCGAATCAAATTTGACCACTTGTGAGTGCTGCACCCTTACAGTCCAAAGTGAGAGGATTGCTGACTTGCGGAATGAAACCAGGCTCGAGGTGATCTATTTAGTTCGTGAATTGAGCTGAAATGATCCGTGCTGATGCAATGAACTAACCTGAGGGAACTGTTTTGCTTTGTGTCAACATTTTTCTGTCATTTATCTCTTTTCGTGACTCCAGATGTTGCTCCCATCTGTGTCTGTATCACTCTCAGACTGAAAGCCTTGTTTTTTTTTTTCTTTTTTTTCTTTTTTTCTTACGTGCTAGCAAGCCGGATCAGTATGTTGTTGCACCAACACGCGGTCAAAAAGCAGGCTCCCCAATATGACACACGGCAGATTTTGACAGATTCGAAGAAAATAAATTGCAAATGTCAGAGACTCCCTTTTGCATTCTATTCCTAAGCTGTAACCCAATATCCATTATGCATACATAATATACTCACCCTCAGGGCTGTAACTAGTGGCCCACTTCATAAACAACTACTAGGTTAGTAGAGTCATGTTGTACATCCCTAACGGAGCCAATCACTAACACGTGTGCGCAAGGCGGAACCCCATTTCTGCCGGAGATCCACCCCTCACCGCCCTTGGAAGTTTCAACTTTTTTTCCCGGTTCCCGCATTCCACGGCGTCCTACAGGAACCCCCAAAAAAAGTCGGGGGGAAATGACACTCTTTTCTGATTTTATCTGATTCTCATGTTTGTGAATTGATTCACTTATTCGAATTCGACTGAAACAAAACATCGGATATACAACTTGATATTTTCCGGTCCGGAAAAAAAAAAGCTTTGGTGAACTTTTCTACGCAGCGCAAAAATCCCCCCAACTCCGCGCGCCTTACCCGGAAAGAGAAAAAAGAAAAAATAACAGAAATGGCGCCCAAACGAAAGGCCTCCGACGATGACTTTGTCATGACATTATCGGATGAGGAGAATGATACGCTGAATCCCGTTGACGAGGAGGAGAACGGTGCCGAGGATGAATTCGCTACGAAGACCGGTGCTACCACCAGTGGTGGTGCTGCGGCTACGAAAAAGCGCAAGAGAGAAGAGTCGCGCGATTCGAAGAATAAGAAGGTGAAGAAACAGACGGAGGTTAAGAAGGAGGAGAAGAATACGAAGAAGAAGGGGTCGAAGAACGGGGTTCCGGAGCCGGAAGAACTGGAGGAGGACGAGGAGGAGGACGATGAGGACGACGCTGCAGAGGATGACGGGGCGCTGAACCCAGATTTCGAGTTCGATGTCGGGGGTGTTGCGAATGAGATCACCGAGTTTGATGGCTGGGCTCAGGGGGTGCCTGAGGTTGAGGATCCCAGGAGAAAGGGCGGCGATAAGAAGGCGGTGGATATTGATGAGATTATTGAGCGGCGGCAGGCGAAGAAGGAGGCTGCTGCGTTGAAGAAGAAGAAGAAGAAGCAGCAGAAGGAGCAGGAGGAGGAGGAGGATAGTGGGGATGAGTCGGATGGGGGTATGTCTGTGGATTTTGGAGATGATGAGTTGTTGGCGGAGGATGGGTTTGGGATGGGTGCTAATGGGGAGGATGAGAGTGGTGATGAAGGTGATGAAGATGAGGAGGAGGAGGAGGAGGAGGAGGGAGACGAAGGTAGTGAGGGTGAGGAGGACGAGGATGAGGACGCGGCTTCCGACGACGACTCTGTCGCGACGCCTGTTGCGCACCCGGACGATGTGGCCGCCGACGAGGAATCCGATGCCGAGAGCGAGGTCGACGCCGAAGAAGCTGCCAAGCGCAAGGCCTTCTTCGCCCCGGAAGAGAAGACAGACAACACTGCGGTGACTTCGAAGCGCTCCTTCCAGGATTTCAACCTCTCACGACCCATCCTCCGTGGTCTGGCGGCGGTCAACTTCGCCAACCCGACCCCCATCCAGCAGAAGACCATCCCCGTGGCGCTCCTCGGCAAAGACATCGTCGGTAGTGCCGTCACCGGTTCCGGTAAGACGGCGGCCTTCGTCGTCCCCATCCTCGAGCGTCTGCTGTTCCGGCCGCGCAAGGTCCCCACCAGCCGTGTTGCGATTCTGATGCCCACGCGTGAGTTGGCGGTCCAGTGTTACAATGTGGCCACCAAGCTGGCGACCTACACCGACATCACCTTCTGTCAGCTGGTCGGTGGTTTCAGCCTGCGCGAGCAGGAGAATATCCTCAAGAAGCGGCCCGACGTGATCATCGCCACCCCGGGTCGTTTCATCGATCACATGCGCAACTCCCCCAGCTTCACCGTCGATACCCTGGAGATTCTGGTGCTGGATGAAGCCGATCGCATGCTCGAGGACGGTTTCGCCGATGAGCTGAACGAGATCCTGACCACCATTCCCAAGTCCCGCCAGACCATGCTCTTCTCCGCTACGATGACCGACACCGTCGACAAGCTGATCCGCGTCGGGCTCAACCGCCCCGTGCGCCTGATGGTCGATTCGAAGAAAAACACGGCCCTGACGCTGACGCAGGAGTTTGTGCGTCTCCGCCCCGGCCGCGAGGACAAGCGCCTGGGCTACCTGCTGTACCTGTGCAAGGAGATCTACACTGGACGGGTGATTGTCTTCTTCCGCCAAAAGAAGGAGGCTCATCGCGTCCGCATCGTTTTCAGTCTGCTGGGCTTGAAGGCCGCCGAACTGCACGGCAGCATGAGCCAAGAACAGGTATGTCAACCACCTTCTCTCAACCCTACGATTCTACACCACGACTAATGCGGAGTTTTCCCCCTTCTCTAGCGTATCAAAAGTGTGGAGAGCTTCCGTGACGGCAAGGCCGCCTTCCTCCTGGCCACCGACCTGGCGTCCCGTGGTCTGGATATCAAGGGGGTGGAGACGGTCATCAACTACGAGGCGCCGCAGAGCCACGAGATCTACCTTCACCGTGTCGGTCGTACTGCCCGTGCGGGTCGGTCGGGTCGGGCCTGCACAATTGCGGCCGAGCCCGACCGCAAGGTGGTGAAGGCTGCGGTCAAGGCGGGCAAGGCACAAGGCGCCAAGATCGCCAGCCGCGTGATCGATCCTGCGGTTGCGGACTCGTGGGCGGCCAAGGCCGAGGCCCTGGCCGACGAGATCGAGGAGGTCCTCGAGGAAGAGAAGGTGGAGAAACAGCTGGCGCAGGCTGAGATGCAAGTGACCAAGGGAGAGAACCTGATCAAGCACGAGGCGGAGATCAAGTCCCGACCCAAGCGGACGTGGTTCGAGACGGAAAAGGATAAGCGTGCTGCTCGCAAGCTGGGGGCGGAGCTGTTGAACGGGCCCGGGGCGGGGGCGTCCAAGAAGGAGAAGGTGAAGCTGAGCAACAAAGACAAGAAGAAATTGGATGACATGCGGGAACGCAAGGAGGGCAATGCCGGCTGGAAGAAGGGCAAGACCACGCGAGAGACGCAGAAGAACGGGCGAGTTCCTACGGAAAAGAAGGGCAAGAAGGGGAAGAAATAAGGATAGATGGTGATTCTGAGGAGGAGAGCCTATTGAGGGCACTGTATATACCTTTTGTCTGGTTTGTTTTCATTGCAGCTGAATGTGTATCACAAAGACTTTTGGCGATTAATTTGTGTGATCCAGAGTTGTAGACAAGTTGTAGACAGCTTGTAGGCAGCTTGTAAATCTGTAGTAGACAACGGGCAGCGTCGGGTATTCGCGGAGGCGGCGGAGCGGCAGCAGGGAGGAGGGCCTCCGGTCATCGGCCTCCCCCAGACTGGCCGGAGCGGGAGACTCAGAGCTTGCAAGAAGTGGTTGCTAATCACTGCACCCTGATTGAAGGGAATGATGGGAGAGAGGAAAGAAGCATATTGTCATGGAAGAAAGGATCAATTAAACGGTGGCTGCAGCACATAACAATGGCTTCAACGGAAAGATGCATGGGATGATGTCGAGGCCCAAGGCTAAGTGTAAGTACGTAGTAGGTACTCCGTACCTAGTCATTGGAAGTAAATGATCCTATCAGGCCTCGCCCCGCCATCCGCTGTCGGCGCTGGACAAGTAAAAAAAAATAAAAAGTGATGGAGCGTCATTCAAAGGCACCGACTCTCCTTGACTCACTGCCTCGCCCCCGACTTCTACCAGTTCCACATCCTGCTTCTTCTCCCTCGTCTTTCTCCAGTTCTTTAAATCCTCATTTCTCACATTCCACCACTACTTGAGAGAACCGTTCTTTCTCTCTCTCTTCCCCTTTATCCTCCTTCCCCCCATCCATTTCAACCCCATCTTTATCTTATCCTCACAATCCCATCCCCCTCTCGCCCGCGCTCTCTTTCCCACCCTCTTTCCCCGCTGCGGATCCCCTCATCCGCTCTCTCGCCCACCATGCCCATGTAAGCTCCCATTGTCCTCCCTCGGCCTCTCGAGGCATATACTGATGGACTTCTCTCGCAGGCTCAAAGACCCCTCCAAGAAATACAAGCGGTTTCAGCCGCTCAACCTTCCGGACCGCCAATGGCCCAACAAGGTCATCGACACCCCTCCCCGCTGGCTGGCCACGGATTTGAGAGATGGTAACCAGAGTCTGCCCGACCCCATGGTAAGACTTCCTCTTCTCTTCTACTTTTTCTAGCACGCTTGTTCCTTCTCCGGGCGCAATGAGTCGCCACCTGAGCAGACTAGTAACAAGACGTCTTCGTGACAGGATGGGGAACAAAAACTCCGCTTCTTCAAGATGCTCCGCGATATTGGCTACAAGGAAATTGAAGTCTCCTTCCCCTCTGCCTCTCAAACGGACTTCGACTTCACCCGTCGCCTGGTTGAGACTCCTGGCCTGGTCCCCGACGACGTATGGCTCCAGGTCCTGTCCCCGTGCCGGGAGGACCTGATCCGTCGCACGGTCGACTCCCTCAAGGGCGCCAAGAAGGCGATCCTGCACATCTACCTGGCCACGAGCCCGTGTTTCCGCCGCATCGTCTTCAATATGGACAAGGAGAAGAGTTTGGAGATGGCCGTCCGCTGCACCAAGTATGCCCGGTCGATCACCAAGGATGACCCCGCGATGGCCGACACAGAGTGGCACTTCGAGTTCTCGCCGGAGACCTTCTCCGACACCGAGCCCGAGTTCGCCGCCCAGGTCTGCGAGGCCGTCAAGGCCGCCTGGGAGCCCACCGAGAAGGACCCCATCATCTTCAACCTACCCGCGACCGTCGAGATGTCGACCCCCAACGTCTTCGCTGACCAGGTCGAGTTCTTCTGTCGCAACGTCTCCGAGCGCGAAAAGTACGTCGTCTCCGTCCACCCCCATAACGACCGCGGCTGCGCGGTCGCCGCCGCCGAGCTGGCCCAGATGGCTGGCGCACAGCGTGTCGAGGGGACCCTGTTCGGCAACGGCGAGCGCACTGGAAACGTCGATTTGGTCACGCTGGCCCTGAACCTGTACACGCAAGGTGTTTCGCCCAAGGTCGACTTCTCCGACATCAACGCGGTCATCAAGGTCGTTGAGGAGAGCAACAAGATCCCCGTGAACGAGCGCTGGCCTTACGGCGGACAGCTGGTGGTGTGCGCCTTTAGTGGCAGCCACCAAGACGCGATCAAGAAGGGCTTCAAGCTCCGCGAGGAAGCAGGCGCCGGCGACGACATGAAATGGGAGATCCCCTACCTGCCGCTGGACCCGCAGGACATCGGCCGCACTTACGAGGCCGTCATCCGGGTCAACTCGCAGAGCGGCAAGGGTGGCGCCGCCTGGGTCATCCTGCGCAGCCTGGAGCTGGATCTCCCGCGCGCGCTGCAGGTGGAGTTCAGCAAGATCGTGCAGCGGCGCACCGAGGAGGTCAGCCGCGAGCTGCTGCCCAGTGAGGTGACGGGCCTGTTCGAGGAGGCCTACCACCTCAAGTCCAACCCGCGCTTCACCCTGATCGACTACAACATCACCACCGACCGCTCGACCTCGCCCGCGCCCCCGGAGCCCGGCAGGGCGCTCAACACCAAGAACCTCAAGCGTCGCTTCACCGGTATCATCGAGATCGACGGCGTCCAGCACGGCATCACCGGTGTCGGCCCCGGTGCCATCTCCTCGCTGGCCAACGCCCTGGCCACCCTGGGCATTGACCTGGATGTTGTGGACTACAAGGAACACGCCATCGGGCTGGGTCGTGATGTCAAGGCCGCCACCTACATTCAATGTACCGCCGCCGGCAGCAAGGAAACCGTCTGGGGTGTCGGTATCCACCAGGATGTGGTCCAAGCCAGTCTGATCGCTCTTCTAAGCGCCGCCAGCTCTGTAAGCCTCATACCTTCTCCCTCCTCCGGCCCCCCACCACCGCCAAATTCCCAACCCAACTAACCACCATCCCCATGAATAGTTCCTCACCAGCCGCGCCGGCTCCCCCGCTCCCTTCCGTCCTATCCGCTCCAACACCCTCACCGACGAGGACCTCGAAGCCCTCGAGACTCTCGCCGGCAGCGCCAACCCGAAAGTCGACCTGGAAAGTCTGACCAAGCAAGCCGAGAAGCAGTAGCCAGCAGTAGACTAAAAGTGTTTGAAACCTCTCTCCGATTTTTATTTTTTCTCTCAGGGGATGTGTGTGTGTGTGTGTCTGTGTCTGGTTCGGGAGCATTTTTTCTTTTTCTCTTCGAATATAATGAATATGAATGGTTAGCAGGGCGGTTTTTGGGAGAAATATATCCTCTTCATTTTTTTCATTCCCATTTTCGTTTCGGTTTCTTTTCGTTTTCCTGGGGGCCGGGGTATCTGGTAGATTGGTACAGGCAAGATCCGGACAGTGGTTTGCACACGGAGGTACTGGATATTGGGATAATAGATGAATGCACCTCATGATGATGATGTTGTTGATGATGATGATGGGGGGGTGTGTCTGAACCAAATGCATTGGTTGAAGTTAGATTTCGGGAATGGTGATGCCAGAGAACAGAACTATTGCAGAGCCATACTTCCCTAGTATCTTACACACACACACACACACATCCAAGTATGTAGGTACAGGAACATGGCTACCCGTTAGGAAGAGAAGGAAAGCTAGCAATAGTTTGAGATACAAATGACAACACTACTACCACATCACCTGGGGTGGTCTATGGATGGTGCTCGATTTCTGCAACAGTGATCTGTCCTATATAAATAGCAAGCAGAATGGAACCGAGGGAGTGAAATAATGCCTAATGTCAATGTCTTAGTTTCTATCAAACACAACTCTGTTCGAAGTAGGTGATCGAGAGAGTATATAACTAAGAATCAGGAGCAAGCAACAGCCAAAAAAAAATAAAAAAAAATTGCAGTCTTCAAGCTAATATAGGATGATGCATCGTCCTGTGTGCATCGGTGCAGGGACCGGTGCAACGGTCTACTATATCAGGCAGGGGAAAATATAGGCCCATTCGAGCAGAAGGCTAAACAAGAAATGGAAGAAGGGGGTATGCTATGTACAGAACAATGCATGTCGTTCATCATGGGGCAGGGATTTTTAGGTAAGGGAGGGGTAAAGTGGAAGGCAAGCAAACAAAGATACGTGTTCAGAATGAAAACAATAAGCAAGGTAAAAAGAAATAAGTGTATGGAAAGATGGTTGGACAAGTCATTCAGCGGACGAAGGGATTGAAGGAGAAGTCATCGTAACAATAGGCAGGCTATGCAACAGAAGAAGAAATGGGAGGGGCTCATGAGCATAAGCTGAATGAGCTGAATATCAGCCAAAAAAAGAAACATACAGAACCAATTAGGTCAGCAGACGGCTCACAGCCTCGTCCAATTGGGTCTGTAATATGCTCTCACTCAACTACCGCTGCTGATAGGGTGCGCCTCCGGTACCCGGGGCTTCGTCGTTACCAAGTGTGGATTGATACATTAAAGCTTCTTGCGGCCAGTCTCCGGAGCTGCGATCTAGCGTGTCGGATACAGGTCCCTGGTTGTAAGAGTCAGACCGCGCAGGAAAATTACCGCTTGCTGGCTGAGGCTGAGGTCCGGGTCCACCCCGATTGGGAAGAGTCTCGGTCTGTGGACCCCCAGAGACTGCTGGAGTAGAGCCGGCACCTGCTGTGTGGGCAAAGTCTCCGAAATCAAAGCCAAAGTCGGGTTGACCAATGGTCGAGGGAAGCTCGGCGCCTGTGACCGCAGCGGCTCCGTTCGTAGAGGCGGTTGTCGGTCGTGAGGGCTCGGAGATCTGGGGAACAATGGGCATCTCGGACGCAGTGCCCGTAGTAGGGCTGCCAACGCCAGCTTCCTGCAACCCAGACTGCGAATGTATGGATGCCTCAGAATGCTCGACGAGGACCGGAGCTGGTGAGCGTGGCAAGCCTTCGATATCCGGTACCAGAGTAGATCGGCGAGTGCTGTTGCCCATGGTGCTTCCGGGTTTCGAGCTTCGACTCATTCGGTGTTGAGGTGCCGCGAAGGGATTATCGGAGCCTTCCATGTCCCGAATACTGAATTGGGCGATTGTTCGCAGTTTTCGAGTGACCCATGAGGCCAGCACCTTACCGCGCTGCTTCTCCCCGAGACGAGACCTAGGGAAGTCTCCGTGGGAGACAAAGGCAACAATATCGGCAACCACTTGGTGCTCGTTGAGAATGGCATCAACAATAACAGGAACCAGTGATGCTAGATAGGCCTTTCTGGTAACCTCAACCACAACCACGATGAGACCACCCGCTTGGAAAACGGCACTGATGGCGACATTTAGTAAGCGCGCACGCGCTAAGACGAAGGGGATGTTGACTTACCATCCTCCAGTCACAATGTTGCGGTGACACCTTTCCACAGACGACTCAATATCCATCGGGAAGTGATTCAACCCGTTGACCTCAAACGTCTCACCGATACCGCCGAGGACAAAAAGGACTTGCATCTCCACCGGTTGGCCATTAGGGCCGATCGGCCTTGTTACCGTGTGGAGGAAGCCCAGATCTCCCGTCCGCACGTACGCCACGTTCGGATCTCCGTCCACTACCCGTCCGTTGAAGCGTTCCATATCGAAGTCCTGCTTTGAACCATAGAAGGCCTTGGCGCAAGCGTCGGATTGAATCCAGATCTCACCATACTCGCCAACATGGGACAGGGTACATGTCTCTGGGTTCACGATTGCGATTTGAGTGTTGACCGGCACCATACCTGAGTCTTGTAGAACAAGAGCTGTGGGATCAGTATCCGGGTCGACCGGACAGACAAGTCCTCTCCGCAGAGAGCGCAGATCGAGCCATAATTCCACAGGCTCGATGCACATATAAGATCTTGTGACTACCATGGGGTTCAACACGTGGGAGTAGACAATGTTGATGGCGGTGCGGTCGAGGCTGGTAGATGCGAAGTGAAGACGCACTTTCTGATCTATGGTACTGTTAGCAGGTGCAGCACTGATAGCATAGGGGGGACTCACAGATATCGACCCGCGGCCTGCCTTCCGCAGAGATCATTAGGTTCTTCAGCTCCTGCAGCTGGAAACCCTTGCCGGCCATGGCGCTCATTGCATAATCCAACATCTGGGCTGTAGCGTACGTGTCCTTGATTTTGTAACGGGAGAGAGTGACGAAAAGCGTCATGGGGTTCTGAGCGAAGTCGACAGGGGAAACAAGATACGTAGGCGCACCTAAATATGCTGATCAGTTACAGAATCCTCTGTCAATAGCTAAAGCCATGACTTACCGACATAGATCCCCATAAGACAGGTATGAAGGAAGCCGAGGCCTAAAGTGCTACGCACACTTCCCAAGACTGGCCTCATACTGGTCATTTGACATGTCTCTTTCTGAACTTTACACATGCCCATGATGGTATCATGACCGATCTGGACCGATATTCTCCTTTGGTCGGGAGTCCAATAAGTCCAAACCATGGCCGCCTGACTGCTCTGCTTCCAGGTTTCTTTCGCGGTAAAGCCGAGATCTCTGCAGCCATGAGACTGCTTCGGAGGCTTCGTGGTGTTGTAAATGGCCGGGACGCCGATGCGTAAGACTTGCGCAGATTGCTTGATGTGCTGGGAAACAAGCTTCTGCCTTAGGACATGGTCAACGTCAGTGTTGACAATGATCGCCTTCACACGGAAGTCGTTGATAACATGGAGGAAAGCAGGAGCATCTTCGGAAAGGCGGTTCTGATCGATGGGAGCGAGAGGAACCGCAACCGCCCCCAGACATAAGCAGGCATGGACGGCATAAACATACTCCTCCGAGTGCGTGTACATCAAGATCAGATGGTCGCCAGGTCGAACCTTAACTTTGTTTTTCAGATACATGGCAACAGCGGCCACCTTTAGATCGAACTTCTTCCAAGTGATGCCTTTGCCTTCCTTTCCCCGACCATCGATAGAGCAATAAGCGAGCTCCTCGGCTTGTCGAGAGACACGCCATTGAAGAAGATCCACGATGCTAGAGAAATTGTTCAGTGGTGTAGACGTGCGGTCGTCCATGACGACGTCGCGATAGTCTACGCCAGAGTATTGCTTCTCCTGCATAGCAAGCAACTCTTGCCTGGACATCAGCGCGAGTGGAGACCAAATACCGCCAACGGGATCGACTCCGACCGGTAAATTAAGAACTGAGCGCTCAACACCGAACTTGACATGGACGCAGGGCAACGACCCATTGTCAAACTCTTTGCGGCAAAGCATGTTGCCGATCTCGCGTCTACCATTCTTGGTCACACGAGGAAGCGTGTTGGGAGCCGTCAACAAGACACAATAGACTCGCAGATGATGCTCCTGGTAAAGAACTTCCATACATCTTTCCGCTAGAGATTCCAGTAGGACGGAATCCAGCTGCCGTGGCGGACCGCCCGAGGTGGTGGGAGCGGTCGATGCTGCGTATGATTCTAGAACGACTATAGGGAGATGTTCTTCGTTGACAAAAACATCGAACGCCGTGCAGTCGTGAATCTTGGGGATATTCTTCAAGATGCTGACGATAAGGTGCTGAACGAAGAAATACCGGTGCTCAACAATCTCTTGCCCATGTTCCACCCATTCCACCTTCTGTCGAAGTCGATCTTCATAGAGACCCAGAACGAAAATCTTTCCCTCAATCACACAGCCCAAGAGACCCGTTCGGAGGAATTCGGGCTCAACCAAGACAGGCGTGGGGTTCCCCTCTTCAAACTTATATGGTCGTGCGTGGAAGATGGCTTCCGTATGTTTCGGCAAGGCCCAGAAGCCTCCAGAGAGAGACGGCGAATCAACCCAAATCTCGCCAACCACATTAGAAGTGCACAGCAAATTGGTCTCGGGGTCGACCACCGCCACTGTCGCGTCCGGGATGGGATATCCAAACGAACCAACTCGTACAGCATGCGGCATGGTGGGGGCAAACTTCTTCGCTTCCTCGCCCATGGCCAGAACCACGATCTCGTTACTCTTCAGAGCCTCCTTGTCTAGAAGTACTTCAAGCATTGCAGTCTTCCCTTGTTCTTGCGAGGCGGGTGCGGGTGCGGAAGAACCACCACCCAACAGACTGCTACCAAACCCGCTGTTAGTCTCGGTCTTCTCGAATTTTTTCTCTTCTTTTCTAAGCCCTTCTCGCTGACTGGGATCCATCTCATGCGTCAATGGACAGCCCATGCGTTCTTCGCCGCCAAGCCAATCCCGCACACTGATGACCATACCGCCGTGTTCAGGAAGACAAAGCATGGGAGCGACGATTTCCCGGGCCCTTGGGTTCCTCATAGGCCTCAACCACCGGTCGGCCAGGATCTCATGAAATTCGGGGTCGACTGTGAGCGAATCGATCAAGCATAGCTTCACCGATCCGAAATTGGGCTCGGAGTTCTTCTTGTAATGTCGCGTGGCCATAGGGTCTTGCTGGTAATTATATGCTGCAATCTTCAGCCCGGGGTAGTCAGCGGCCATAAGAGTCGCCCTGTATTTTGTAATCAAATGAGCGTAGAGACCAGGCGTCTCCACAGCCCGATCTTCGAGCCAGACGGTGGTGTGGCCACCATACACAGTCAGAAGAACGCCCAAGATCATTCCAATGCCTTGTCTAGGATCCAAGTAGCTTATCAGAGTCTCTCCACGTGGCTTAGATGCGCTCGAAGACGCAGGTACCGTCGAGACAATTGCACCGAGGCAAGCCATTTGATGCATGATCGTTCGGTGACTCATGACAACTCCGCGAAGATCGCCAGTAGGGGCTCTTGAGAATTCGATATACGCCAGATCGGGGACCACAAGAGGTGGAGTGTCGTCTTTCTTCTTGGGGTGGTAGCTGCCGAATTCGTTCGTCTTCCACCATTCCACTCCTCTGGGCCAATTTAGCTTCTGGGTCGTGATATCTCTCTGGAAACTCTTCAGATTATTCTCCGTCGTTAAGGCAAGGTGTGCTTGTGTCGAGGTTAGAATCAGGTTGAGGCTCTGGTAGTCCTCGAGGCTATTGATAGGAACAGCGACGACTCCGGCGATGAAACACCCCATGAGAGCCACTGCGAACTCGATTATCTCGGAGTCGCGGTAGATCAAGGCCACTCGGTCCCCACGATATAGGTTGCTCTTGTCCCGAATGACCTGGGCCACCTTCTCCGCACGACTAGCAAGTTTGTCCCAAGTGATGGAAGCGATCTCTTTTCCTTTCTGGTCTAGAACCCAATAAGCAGGCTGTTTCGCATGCACCCGAGCGCGGTGTCGGAGAACCGCAGGGATGTTATCGAAATTAGACATGGGGGTATTTTTGTCGTGGGGATCATGAACGGCAAATGGGATATCTCGAGGTTCCAACGGCAGCAGGTGGTCGAGTGCCGGCCCATGCGGAAGTTCAGAGGCCGGAATGAACGGCGGTGCCATATTGGCCGTGGGAGAGAATGTTTCTGATTGGGAGTAGCGATGGAAACCGCCACCATAGCTATCCCGATAGTCGTCTTGTTGCTGGCCGGCAAAGTCGGAGAAATATCCCTGCTGCGAGTCGAGCATGGTCGACTGTCGCGTGCCGGGGCCAGACGGCATATCATAGGCTCCGACAGGTTCATCGTACTGCTCGTGAGGAGGTCCGGGATTGAAGGCGTAGTTCTGGCTTAGCAAGGTGGCCGTCCTCGAGTTCTCTTGGAGCGGCGGAGCAGGCTGATTCTTGGGAAGGAAAAGGGAATCGTACGAAGCAGCCGACGGAGCTCTGTCACCAGGCAATAACATGCTCTCTCTTTCATATGAGCCCTGGGTCTCGCCACTTATCCTGCGATCGTAACCGAAGCCACCATTTTGATGAGAACTATCCCGCCCGTTGGACAGAGGCTGCGAGAATCCACTAGGGCTCGAGGAATCGGCGGTAGGGGGTCGGACATTGAGAATAGCCGGAGGCGGATGCGTTGCGCTGGAGATCGATGAGGGAGCATTGCCAGAGGTAGGTGTACTGAGATCCAGTGCGTTATTAGGTCCGAAGAACTGCGAGAGGAGTAATGTGCGCCGTTTCTGATATCTGCGACACGATTAGTTCCATGATGAGGACATATCTACCATGATGCGGAGAAAGGCTCCCACAAGCGGTTCGGATGGAAGTTCTTTCCGCGCCCCCTGCACTCTCTCCGGCACCCACAAGATGCTTACCCTTTTTCGGTGATATCACCCTCCTAGTAGTCAGACGAAGCGAATGCAAGTCAGCGAAAGGGCTGGCAAGATATATAGCACGAATTTAGACAGGCAGACAGCGAAGTAAATCTCTCATACCTCCAATTCCTTGTCGAGGTCGCGCAGAGCGGACTGCAGCTCAGAGTTGTCGTCCGCCATAATCACAGAAGCGCTGAAGAAAGACTAATCGAGGGGCTGTCATTCGAGGGCGCGTACGACTGGGCGGAAGTGAATGACGTTACTCTCATCGCAGGGTTCTCTGGGATGGCAGTAGAAAGGCAGCGGGAGTGGGGAGGGATGAGAAAGAGAAAGAAAAAGGAGAAGTAAATCCCGATGAATCCGCTCTCTTGCGACAGAGAGTAGATTGGTGGATGTGAAGAGACAGAGAGGAGAGGAGAAGAGAGAGAGGGAGGAGGAGGAGGAGGAGGAGGAGGAGGAGGGGGGGGAGATCTTCGGGGGATCTTCTCTCTCACGTTTCCTCGGAGTGTCTTCAGGCTGTTCTCCGCGAGTGTAAGAGGCTAAGAAGACCTGCCAGTGACCCAAGGGCCACAAAAGAGCCACAACGTCACCTGCCAGTCGGAGTCAAGGAGGGCCTGAGAGGCGGGCCTGCCACGCACAATCCACCCTATTCGCACCGCCACACAAGAGGGTCTGGGGACGATGAATTCTTCGGAGTAAATGGAATTGTCTTCGTCTCAAATACAATGCTTTTTTACTGTCTTCTCTTCCTTTCTCGCTCACTCGCATTTGCAAGTCACCGAGAATGACCCCCGTATAACCCCCTGGAAAGCAGAAACAATAAACTATTCTTTGTGTTTCCAAGTGACAGGCACGCTTTCTCGTACCAACCAATCCTTACGTTCCCCGGGGTCGTGCGGGAGGGATTCTGCATGATTTCCCGCATTGAATCCGGTGCGGGATCCCCCTTTCTCAGTCCATCCATCAGCCTCGATCAAGAGAACAGAGTCTGTCCGTCTCGACGAGAAGATGATAGGCTGTAACTCTAGGCATATCCATAGGACTACATAGTCACTTGAATTTCTATAGTCCTCCTGTGTTAGGGAGTCGAGTAGTTGCGATTGCCTTGGCGCCAAGAGTAAACTGGCTGTTGAGAGCATTCACTACCCCATATAATTACAGGATCAATGCTGATGATACAGGACAATCTGCCTCAGTGTAGAAACCCCTCAGACTGTAAGCAGACCGTCACTGCTGCTATCTGACATATACTCTGCACGACTGCCAGCTCCAAATTAGGGTGGATTCAAGATGCTAGTTTCTTCTCCACAAAGGGCTCGATTCATTTGAAGTAAGATCTTCTCGAAGTGGCGTGGGTAAGGAAGAGCATTCGCTAGTCTACTTGATACCGTCGTCAAGGCTATCTTTTGGTTGGTGCAACTACACGGTTAGTCCAGTTTGGCCTAAGCACCTCATTCACCATAGCATCATGATGCCTAACATGGCATCGACTGAGTCACTTTCGGAGGACAGGCAGCTGGGTGACTGAAGCTCTGGTCTTAGTATTGTAAAGCTCATCAGATTGAACGTCGTCAATCGAGAATTTAAGAGTCTCCGAGTAGATAGCATTCTGCGTTCTGAGCCCACTGCAGGGTCAAGCTGGCAGATAACCGACCAACGATTTCGTATGGTTACTTCTGATCATGCCAGGTTATCGTAGGCTCATCAAGAAGAGAAGAAAATCATCCTGCTTGAGGTTGCTCATTGCCTGAAACGAAGACTCGACCCGCGAGACATAAACAGGGGCGTCCTGCTCCAGGAGAAAGGGGAAAAAAAGGCACATGAAAGGCAGTGCAAGCATGGACTTCCATGTGGTAAACGAAGCTGATCACAGATCAAATGAGTACTGACTGCGAATATTGCAGTTTCTTCAGTCAAACTTGAATTGAAAGTGCTAGAGGTGTCATACTGCAAGTGCAGTCTAGATCATCGAGGATGGAGCGTAACCTGCCAGTGGGTTGAAAGCGGAGTCAAGTCGATGTTATCAACTGGGCCATCCAGGGCTAGTCCATATGAAGATTAGCTCATCGGAGACGCTCCGCTAGTGCTGCATCACATGACACAGTCGGTATCATTGGTGGTCCGGGCCTGCCCTAAGCCCACCCACCGCTAAGCGAGTCGCACCTCGAATTTCCGTGGGCTCAGCGACACATTTCAGCCGACCGACTGTATTCGCAGGATCACCCAACGACACCGTCCGCCACCCCTTCACGTATCCCTCCCTCGACAACAGGTGCATACGTCGTCCAACATGTCTGAACACGGCGAAGTCGAGGTCGAAAACCCTGCTGCGGCCTTCCAGGTCCTGCCCAAGGATGCTCTCGCCGAGCAGGGCAGCGTGAAGCTGTTCAACAAGTGGAGCTACGAGGATGTTGAGATCCGGGACATCTCCTTGACGTAGGTGCCTCCCAAAATCCTTCGCGATTGTTATCATGCCACGGAAAGAAGGAAAAGGGATTTGAAATGCATGGAATTCGATGGGAATACAAGGGGAAGAAAATCTTGAGACACCATCCTATTTTTGTGCCCGGATGGGAGGAACGCTCGATTCGAATCAAGGGCCAACACGACGTGGAAAGATTAGCGCCAGAAAAAAAAAAAGAAAAGCACACGAGTCTTGTTGTCTAGGATGGGAAATGGCAGCAAGAGAAATGCAGCGCAAACTCACAGAAATGAGACATGCTGACTTTCGAATTTCACGCAACTAGCGACTACATCCAGATCCGCTCCCCTGTCTACCTTCCTCACTCCGCTGGTCGCTATGCCGCCAAGCGTTTCCGCAAGGCTCAGTGCCCCATCATCGAGCGCCTGACCAACTCCCTCATGATGAACGGCCGCAACAACGGAAAGAAGCTCATGGCTGTCCGCATCGTTGCTCACGCTTTCGAGATCGTATGTCACCACACCCTGATCATGCCCTGACAGGAAACAATCAACCACCCAACAATGGAACTTTTTCCCCTCCCCCAGCGCTAACAGCCCGCGAACAGATCCACATCATGACCGACCAGAACCCTCTCCAGGTTGCCGTTGATGCCATCGTCAACTGCGGTCCCCGCGAAGACAGCACCCGTATCGGTTCCGCCGGTACCGTCCGTCGCCAGGCCGTCGATGTCTCTCCCCTCCGCCGTGTCAACCAGTCCATCGCTCTCCTGACCATCGGTGCTCGTGAGGCCTCCTTCCGCAACATCAAGAGCATTGCCGAGTGCTTGGCTGAGGAGCTCATCAACGCCGCCAAGGGCAGCTCCAACTCCTACGCCATCAAGAAGAAGGACGAGCTCGAGCGTGTTGCCAAGAGCAACCGGTAAAGTGGGAAGTTTGGGCGTATTCTCCGTTTGGTTCTGGTTATGCGTGTACTGGAGTGGACGGGGGGTTTATTAGGATTCAGTCGATTTGCATGCATCTGCGCGACTGTACATACCTGAAGACAGTCACGGGAGGGAGCGAGATCCTCAGCAAAAAATGAGAGAATTGGACGGCTTTCCTTCCACAGTAGTTGAGATGCGATCATGAAGACCTCTTCTCTGGCTTTGTGCAAGTCAGAACCTTACCATTTTTTTTTACTCTAAACGAAAAGATTTCTTTTACCTGTTTTCACACTGCACTTTTCCCATCTGGAGTAGCTTGATAACTTAATGAACTATTCTACTTTATGATATCTTGCATGTTGTAAACGTCCAACACACCACCTGATAGACAAAATATTTGAGCGCTCGCCGCCTTTGGCTGATCGCTTATCGATAGGCCGGCCCCGTATTTTCCAGCAGGAGGAGAAAAAAAAAAATGTTCTGGGACGGTCTGTTATCATCAGCCCAGAGCCAACCACCTGCCATCTTCCTCTTTTCCTCCCCTCCCCCCCCTCCCCCATCTCCGTAAACCCATATCCCACACCTTTCCTTCTCACCACAGTCAGTCGCAAACATGGTGAAGAGGAAGTTGGGAGCCTTGGAAAAGGTTGAGGCAGACTTGTGAGTTATTCTTAATCCTGGAAAGAGAAAACTTCTACCCGCCAATGTCGGAAAAGGATTTCACCCCCAATCGCTAACACTTTCGAATCTCTCTTTTCTAGGCCCAATCTTCAACACAAGATCAGAAGGGATCCCAAGTAAGTGGTATTTTCTAACTGCGACTTTGGTGCCATCTATCTTGGGAACGTGGCTAATCAGCGTGCTTTCGCCAGGTCTTACATTGAGGATTTCCGCGCTCAGCACTACCAGTATGAGAGTCACCGCGAAATCTTCATGGCAGCGCCGTCGTCGGCCACCGATACAGGTATCATTTCGCTGCGGGAATTGATCGATTTCATCGCTCACGTGGCCGACTGCTACCCTGAGATCACAAAGGACTTCCCCCAGCAGCTCATGGATATCCTGACGCAGCATCACTTGATCTTACAGTCGGAGTTGCGGGAGAAGATCGTTGGAAGTTTGGTACTTCTGAGAAAGAAGGAACTTCTGGATTCCGCGACGTAAGTTTCATGTGACTTGCGTGCCACAGTCAAGCGCTGTCGCTAACGAAGATGAACCTGCAGACTCCTCCAGACGCTGTTCCCTATTCTCATCTCCACGCCTAGCAAGACGCTGCGCGCATTGCTCTTCCAGAAGATCCTAATGGACCTGCGATCCTCCAACGCAAAGGCCACGAATCATAAACTCAACCGCACCATGCAGACCGTCCTCTACAACCTGGTCACTTCCGACCGCACCTCGTCCAAGGGCCTGTGGGCTATCAAACTTACGCGCGAACTGTGGAAGCGCCAGATCTGGACTGACGCCAAGGCCGTTGAGGTCATGAAGGAGGCCAGTCTTGCCACCAACGAGAAGGTCATTGTCGGCGGCGTGCGGTTCTTCCTCGGGGGAGATAAAGAGCGTGAGGAAATGGAGGACGAGAGCAGCGACGAAGAGGCCATCGATATGGGCCGAGTCAAGCATATCGTCGGCATCAACAAGAAGACCAAGAAGAAGGCTCGTGCAGTCGAGAAGGCCAAGGCCACAGTCAAGCGACGTGAGCGCAAAAAGAACGCACCCCACCCGCTGAACTTCTCGGCGCTCCACCTCTTGCACGACCCTCAGGGATACGCAGAGAGCCTGTTCTCCAGGCACCTACAGAGCACCAAGTCGAAGTTGAATCTGGACCAGAAGCTGATGGTGCTCCAGCTTGTGACTCGCCTCGTCGGTCTCCACAAGCTTCACATCATGCACCTGTACTCCTACTTCCAGAAATACCTTACGCCCCGCCAGCCCTCTGTCACTTCCTTCTTGGCTTCCCTTGCACAGGCCTCCCACGACCTGGTGCCTCCTGATGACCTCGAGCCCCTGGTCCAGAAGATCGCCAATGAGTTCGTCTCCGAGGCCTCGGCCGCCGAAGTCGCATCAGCAGGTCTCAATGCGATCAGAGAAATCTGCGCGCGGCAGCCTCTCGCGATGAACGAGACCCTTCTGCAGGATCTCGTTATGTACAGGAAGAGTAAGGACAAGGGTGTGGTGATGGCCGCGCGTGGTCTGCTCAGTCTGTTCCGCGAGCTCAACCCCGAATGGCTCAAGAGACGCGACCGTGGCAAGGAAGCCTCCATGGGTCTGCGGTCCGGAGAAAAGAAGGAGAAGCGCTTCGCAGAGCAAGCGGCTGGCGGTATCGAGGGTATTGAGCTGCTTGAGCAATGGAAGGAAGAGGAGCGTCGCAAGAAGCGGGCCGAGAAGGGGCTGCCCTCGGATGCGGAGGACGATGAAGAGGATGAGGAAGACAACTGGGACGCCTGGAACGTCGAGTCAGACGAAGACAGCGATGACTCGGATGGCTGGATCCAGGTGCAGAGCGATGCTGAGATCGAACTGAGCGATTCAGATGACGACGACGAAGACTCCAAACGTCCGAAGAAGAAGGCCAAGTCGGACGACGAGACCGGCGCCGAGGCAGCCGCCGCCGCCGCCGCCGCCGAGGAGCCCAAGAAAGAGGAAAGCGAGCTAGACAAAAAGCTGAGTCTGGCCGCGACCCGCATCCTCACGCCCGCCGATCTGGCCAAGCTGCAGGAGCTGCGCACCGAGGCGGCCGTCAACGCGCTGGCCGGTGTCAAGGGCCGCCAGTCTGCCGGCAACCGCCACCACGACGACCCCCTCACGGCGGAGGAGATCGAGGGTCTGGCGGCGCTGTCGGCCGGCAAGGCCACGCGCGAGGAACGTATCGCGCACGCCAAGGAGGGCAAGCTCGACCGCTCCGAGCACAAGAGTGTCACCGCCAAGCGCAAGGAGAAGAAGGAGTCCCAGGGCAAGAGTACCACCAACAAGGAGAAGGCCCGCAAGAAGAACTTCCTGATGACCCTGGGCAAGGCCAAGAGCAAGAACAAGCGCAGTCTGGTGCAGACCCGCGCCGTGCTCAAGGCCCACCAGGAGCGCGCCAAGCGTGGTGGCCGTCGGGGAAACACTGGGTCTTGATGTATCTCACGATGATACCCTTGTTTTTATTCGTGATGCTTTGGAATCTACATACAATCTCTTTCTCTTTGGTCATGAGGCGTTTAGTCCGAGTTCTCCGTATATTTGGATCGTCAGTAAGCTATAGATACTAGTACGCATGACTCTGAAGTCAAGAAAAGCATATCATTCAACCTACCAGTAATAGCAGGGCATAGAACTGTCTCTACGCTGTTCACAAGTAGTAGCCTCGGCCAACATCGGTCCTACTAGTTTCCCGAATTATATGTAGTTTGAGGAGTGTGAATGGCAGGTTCATAGACGGCTGCGTACAATGGGCAAGAAAAATCCATCAAGAAACACAATACCTAGTACTACTATTATAAGAACAATAGCTCGGATGGTACTACCTAGTATGTATGTACTCCCAGTTGACGCAATCTACCCGCTGTCCTCCTTTCATAGGTATCTGTGGGTAGCATACTATGGAAAGGAGTGACCCAAGTCCGACCAACTGGTGAATTATATATCGACAAAAAAGGAGCAACAACCCCACACCCATCGAGCAGTACCCCTCCAAGTCGGGAGATTGACACCATAGAACAGACCCGATTGTCGAATATGGTCAGAACTCGAAAGCAAGAAGAAGTCTCGGATGGCCTTTCTCCGCGTAAAGGGAACCAACCGACAGATCAGGTGCAGACATTCAAGCGAAACTTGAGAAGATGCAGGAAACACCCAAGCGAGCAGGGAAGGATGTGGGAAGGTTCGGGGGGACTTGCCTGACTAGTTGCGAGGGAAACAGGGGAAACAGGATCTCTATGAGATGTATCTGCACAAACCCAGGACGGTAGGAAGGGAAAGATGACATCGAAGCGATACTTAAGGTGTACTTGTTGGTGATGCCCTAAAAACTAGAGCCGATGCCAGCCATCGGACTTTCTGTCTCGGGTCTCGAGTCGGTAGTAGCATTAACTGGAGAATGAATTGGTAAGGTAGTTGTATCATGTTCTACTTCTCACAGGTCCATTGTCTTGATTCGGGTGTTCGGAATGTGTATTCTACCTACCTAGCAACTAATGTCATAGGGCTTTGGACTCTTCTGGCTGCCAGCCATAGCTCTTTCACGGAATACCTGTCTAAGAATCAGCACCGCGTCAGAAGCATCTGGAGGTTAAGGTCTAGATTCAGTGATGAACACGTTGAGGCTTTCCTTCCAGTTTGAAGCCCGGTTTGTAGCGTAATGTAGTAGTCGAGCAAGAGCAACTGAAGTCGGCGTCGATGCCTTACCTATCTCATCGTTAGTAACTTCCTCACTTATCACGTATCCGACAATGTCCGCTGCTGCTTCGGTTGACTTGTCTCGAGAGTGACTTCCTTCTCTTTGCATCGGGTTTTATATCCTGGCTTCTGTCTTCATCTCGGTGGATCGAAACGTTCTCTTGCACTCTCCGCTTCGCTCGATCAACTTGTTTTTCCTGTTCGCATTTCTCACTCAGCCAAGAGAGGAAGAGCGCGGCTCAGGGACACTCGACTTGTTTTGCTTGAAGATTAGAGTTAGTCCACAGGTTGAAGCAGCTGGTGTGAGTCGTAGCGGACTGTCTCCAGTCGTGCTCTGGGGAAAGATCACTGCTTCTCAGGCTGTTATATACAGCTTTCATCATTGAGGCAAGTGATCTCCTTGTTACGACTTCCTGAGGCCCCGGCCAATGATGAAAACACTCTCTTGAATGATGCTCAGCTTCGGCTAACTTCTTGCTTGCTATGATTTGAATAGGATCACTGCTTCTCAGGCTGTTGCATACAGCTTTGCTTTTGAGGCCGTTGTATACAGCCTTCATCATCGAGGCAAGTGATTTCACTCGTACTTGTTACGACTTCCTGAGGCTCCGGCCAATGATGAAAACAGTCTCTTGAATGATGCTCAGCTTCGGCTGACTTCTTGCTTGCCATGATTTGAATAGGATCACTGCTTCTCAGGCTGTTGTATACAGCTTTCATCATTGAGGCAAGTGATTTCACTCGTCTTTGTTACGACTTTCTGAGGCCCCGGCCAATGATGAAAACACTCTCTTAAATGATGCTCAGCTTCGGCTGACTTCTTGCTTGCCATGATTTGAATAGGATCACTGCTTCTCAAGCTGTTGCATACAGCTTTCATCATCGAGGCAAGTGACTCAGTCTGCCTCTTGTAAGGGTGAGCTCAAGGATAAGCTCACAAGGCTTGTTGATTCAAGCCTTCGCTGGCTTTCTGCTGTTGACGGAGATTTGTACGTGGAACTGCATATTCTTGTAGTGCGGGGAGAGGCTTCCATGTATGACACCTAGATGCGAGATTAGAAATGTTCCCGTTGGGTTTCGCAGAGAGAATAGCGAGTCAAGGGCGCTGGGATGGTATCACTTGCTGTAGAGCAGGTTCATGAATCCATTTCCTGCAGCACTTCACTTGATCAAGTATGTTCCGCGTACTGTGCATGTTGGATGGTTTCAAGTCGAGACGGTGGAGAGGAAAGAAGTTTGACAAGGCTTGGGGGGAGGAGATGAGACTGTGGGTTAAGCGAACAGCCAGCGTAAGTTCCTTTCACTCCGCGGATCGCGAGTCCGAGAACCTTTCGTGATAATGATGACATCAAGGCAAGTCATAATCGATCATGTGTCTCCCCTTGACCGCACTATATGTAGTTCAATTCATCATCAGGGGAATTTCTTGTTACGACTTTTGAGACTCGAGTTCTTTTTCGGTTTCTGCAATTCACACAAGTCAAGATGCTTCGCAGCCTGCATTAGATGCAGCTGAAGTCTTCATCGAAGCACCCTTTTTTTCCTCTGCAGTCTTGGTAGACAAGCTGACAAGGGGAAGAGGGAAGAGAGAAGCTGGAAGGCTGCGCGGGAGTGTGGATTTGTTATATGGTGGTTGACCCGGCTGAGAATTCCGCGGGTTTAGACTCCGGAGGGCATTTCATGGGATATTATGACATCGAGGGCGTAGAGTTTCTCTTGTGTCTCTGAGGATCCATGTTTTAGAAGCTGCAGTCAACCGTGAATCTGTGTGTACTTTGAGAGGTAACTATGGAATAACTAGTTGGGGAAAGTAGTATACAACCCAGACTAGTCCCAAAGAGGGTAAATGGACTGGGCGCGTCGGGAAGCGCGTCGCGGGATGCGACCCAGAAATTGGGGAAGCCCAGCCTCCCTTCAATCAACTTCTGCACCTCCTGCCCCTGCAGCTTCTTCTCCATCACAACTCACTTCTTACATTCTTTGCACCTTTTGGCAGTTCAGCACAACCTATTCTTCACCATCTAATCAATCAATCAACCAATCAATCAATCATCACTGCAGCAGTGCTACCCACCCCCGCAATCCACCACAACCCCTCCAAACCGACTCCCTTGTCAACCAATTTCAACCTCAACATCACATCTTCTGAAGAACCAACCACCACAAACATCCCAACCAAAATGCCCTCCTCAATCCAGGCGACCACAAAACCACTCGACACCTCCAAACGCCGCCGCTTCCAACCTCCAATCACCAACTACTTCACCTCCTCCCCTTCCTCCTTCTCCTCCTTTTCGTCCCACAACAACAACGACGACCACCCCCACAACCAAACCCCACACCAGACCTACAACCACTACTCCACCTCCACCTCCTCCCCGACACCCACCCTCGCTCCCAAATACCAATCCTCGTTACTATCCGTCGGCATGCGCATCCGCAAAGCCATCGCCGAGGGCTACAAAACCCACGCTACCTCATTGCCCTCACTGGAGAAACCTGGGGTGTATCGACCATCCCCTACGAGAGACATCACAAATGATGAGGGCGACGCTTTCTCGTTGCCTGCCAGTTCGCAGGATTCTAGTACCTCGAGTGATTCGGCTATGGATGTGAATGTGCATATGTGGTCGGGGAAGAAGCGCGGGTTCGCGGACGTCGAGGTTGATGTCGAGCTTGGTTGCGGGGAGACGGGATATTATGCACACCACTCCGGCACCACCCCCTCCTCCGACAGTGAGATGGAGGATCTTATCCCGTCTTCCGGCCACATGCTGGCTACGACGACCACCCTAGCAGGGAGGACGATCCTCGCACCCCGGGCCAGGAATCTAGCCGGCAGCAGCACAAACATCCGACGGAGGTTCGGGCGTGGTACTGTTCCTTCACCTCCTCTTCCTCCTCCTCATTCTACTTCTTCCCTTGCTTCAGCAGCGGGCTTCGATGTCGATTTCGAGGAGCCGGCGTTTCTGAGGAGTCGAGAGGAGGCTGAAGGGGAGGGGTGGTTTTATGGTCGGGAGGTGGAGATGGGTATGTGATTGAGTTAGCTGGGTGGGAACGACAAGTAGCAGCAGCCACACTGAGGAGGATGATTGGTCATGGGTTATGGTATGGTGTTTCTTTATCTGTGAGGGGTTGTGTTTTTGCATGGGTTATTTTGTAAGTCGTTGGTTTAGCGAGCGGGTTTTGATTGGGTTTTCGTTACTGGGGTTGGGGTTTGTGTTGGGCTGTACTGTACTGTATGCAACACGCCGGATTGCACGGTTTGCACTGGCTGGTTCTGGTGGTTTTTCCTGTTATCAGATGTCTGGTGGTTTGCTGGACAGGCAGGCTGGTTTAGCATGGGTTTTTTTGTACGGTTGGATTATGGCTTATGTTTGGGATGGGCTGTACATAAAATTATCTTTACTGTTTCTCCGACAGGTTATCGACATAACTCAAGGAGATCAAAATTCTCACCCCAAATCACGGATTCAGTGAACTTTTGGATAAAACGATGGCCGGTAGCTGACTATAACGACCTTCCCTACCACACCCAATCCACCCCCGCTGAACCGATATCCTCTCTATATAACAGTCCATATAGCCGTGCGGGAATCAATCGTTATATCCAGGGTTCACTGTATACTACTACCCTTTTTCCTCTTAAGAGAAGATTAGGACCGAATCCCACCGAAAATAACCGGGAAGGCACTCGCTAAAGCTGCCAACTTGAGAGATGAGTCATATAGGAGTCTCTGCCTGTCCTACTAAGTACAATACATGGTCCGAACATGCAATAGTCCAGCAGAGCATGACGCAAGGAGGACTCAAATCTGGAATTTGTACTCCAAAAGCAAAATTTTAAAAACAATATCTATCACATAAAGTCAACGCTCAAGCCGAAAACTCCCACTGCGCACCCCCCCTTTTTCTCCGCACCTACCACTGCACCCAAACAAGCTACAGCTCGTCCTTGACGTTGCTCTTCTTGGCCTCAGCCGAAGTAGCAGTCGTCGTTGACGACGACGACGACGTGGTCGACTCCTGCTCCTCTTTCTTGGCGCTGCTCTTGTCCTTCTTGCCACTGCTTCCCTTCTTGGCCTGCTCGCTCTTGCCGGACTTGGCCGCGGCCGCCCCCATCTTCTCGTAGACGCGGTTCAGGACGCGCTCCAGTTCGCGGAGACGGGTGTCGAGCTCGGCAACGGTGAAGGCCGGGTCGTCGGTGATGGCCAGCTGCTCCTGGATGGTGAGTTGGGTCTCGAACCAGGTGTTGGTCGACTCGTAGATCTTGGTCAGACTGGCCAGATCGTAGGGTTGGAAGATGGAGTACTTCGGTCCACTGGCCTTCGGGGTGGTGGTGGGAGCCGAAGAGGTGGTGCTGCTCGAGGTAGCGTAGGGGTCCTCCTCGAGATCCACAGGCTCGGAGGGAGTTTCGCTGGCTGCGGCTGAAGAGCTAGACGCAGTAGTTTCACTGGCCGCGACGCTGGCAGAGTGGAGCTCCTCATCCTGTTGGATCTGCTTCTCCATAAGCTCCTTCACCGTCTTGGCGTTTTTCAGGACATCCTGGAGGAGCTCGACACGAGCCGGGCGCTCGGCACTCTCCTTCTTGCGCTTGAGCGCAGGGTTGACGATCTCCTTCAAGGACTTGAGACGTGCCTGGAAATCCGAGGTCTTGGCGTTCTCGCCGTCCTCGTACAGCCAGTCGCTGGCAGCTGCGGCCCTCGTTGTCAGGGTGGTCAGCTGCTCCGGGGTCAACATCTTGACAAATTCCTCATCTTCCACGAGATCCCGGCTGCGGTAGATGAACGACTCCAGCTCGTTCAAGGCCTCCTCGCGGAGGAAGCGCTCACGGTCTGAAGCGTCAAACGCGGCCAGACGGCTCTTAATGCGGCCAAGCTCAGATGCAGACGGTGCAGGGAGTCCCAGAGCCGTCGTGGTGAAGCTGACTGGGATAGTCTCAAGCTTGGTTTGAGGCGAGTTCTTCTTGGCGTCTTTGGCAGCTGCGGTCGACGAGGCGGCGTCCGCCGACGAAGTGGTCGAAGCCTGTTCCTCTGGTTCCAGTGTAATGGATTCACTGGCTTCACCTTCTTCGCCAAGAGGAGCCTGTTCATCCTTCTTGCCCAGGCCGAAAAAGCCCTTGACATCTTCGACGACACTTCCCCTCTTGGCGCCCTCCACTTCGCAGCTAACGGAACCACCCACAACTTCGGGAAGTCCATCAATAGGGCTGAGGCGAATGGCAAACTTGGTTGTAATGTTGGCAGCGGAGCAGCCGAACTCATCCTTGAGCTTGGATACAGAAGCAGTGAGGTTCTGCGTCTTGACGCCCAGAACAGGGGTCTCAGCAACGCTGCCGGCGAGGGGAACTTGCTGGTAGAAGCTGAATTCAAAGTCATCCAGGTTCTTCACAGTGACCTGCTTCTCGGGTCCAACCAGGGAAGTGGGAGTGAAGAGCTTCTGCTGCCTCTCCTTGGATTCGGATGCCCACTTCAAGACAACACTGTAAGCGGACGCATCGTTGGCACGGATATCCTTGACACGGAAGCTTGAGCTCAGAGCTGCACCCTTGAAGGCAGCTCCGAACACAGCGGCTTCGTCAGCGTTGACGCTGGTGCGGATCTTGCTCTCTGATCCACAGACGCTCTCGAGTTCCTTCTGCACGAATGGCGTGCGGATTGCACCACCGTGAAGAATAACAGAGTCGATATCGTTCATCTGCAGGCCGGCAAGCTCCAGAGCCTGCTCGAGAGGCTTGCCCACGCGAGCAATGTGCTGCGCGGCAAGCTCCTCAAATTTAGTCCGGGTAAGACGATACTTAAAGTTGATCTCGTCCTCGTACAGGCTCTCGAACGAAGCTCCGGTCTCTGTGTTGGCGCTAAGAACCTGACGGATTTTTTCAGCATCCTTCCAGAGCCTTGCCATGGTCTTGCCGTGTGCCTTGATATCTGCCGCGGTGACGCGACCCTTCAACTTCTTCTCCTCAACCAGGTTGGCGATCATATCCTCAACGATCAAATCGTTCAGAGAGTCACCGCCAAGAGTCTTGTCCCAGCTAGTTCCTAGAACATGGACTTCCTGGACAGTCTTATTGAAGCGACCAATGTCCTTGACCGCACGGCTCTGGAAGCGAACGACGCTGGCCGTGGTGGAGCCAGCACCCATGTCATACACAATGTGATGCTCGGGCTTCTCCCCGTCTGATACGCTAGGGAAAGTACGGCTGGTTGCGTAGTTCAGAGCAACAGCAAGGCCATCACTGATGAAGGCCTCAACATTCAAGCCGGCCAGCTCCGCCGCCAAGCGGAGACTTCTCTTCTCCGCCGCGGTATAAAAGGACGGGTAGGTGATCACTGCATCCTGAATGTTGGAACCCTTTCCAGCCAGCGTATCAGCGTTGGCCTTGATTTGCTTCAACTGCATGGCAAGAATCTCCTCGACGAGGAAAGCGTCCTTCTTCTCAGCCTCGCCAAGTCGGTTGCTCCGCAGTCCAACAGTGTCGCGTTCACCAGGAGCTTTCTCAAGTTGCAGTGCAGGGTACCGGTTGTGATACGTCTTGATCGTTTCGTCGTTAATGTCGAAAGGGAGTCCGAGTAGGGTCTTAAGGTTAGCGTACACATCGTCGGGGTACCGGCCGGCTAGCGCCAGGGCATCGCCGCCGTAGAACCTCTCGGGGAACAGTGCATCGTTCTCACGGGTGGGCTTGAACGCAACGGCAGCCGACTCCTTGCGCTTCGAATCCTTGGTGAGAACAATCTCCAGGGGAATACCCGGCTTGACCAGGGCAGCTTTCAAATATTCTGTGCCGACATCAAGCCCGAGAACTGCGGACCCCGCTGCAGCAGCAGGGGCTGGGAAGCTCAAACAGAGCAGCAGGAAAGGAACAATGAGGAAAGAGAGGACGGGAGAGAGTGTGAGGGACTTCAGGGAGCCATATGTTCGTTGGCGGCTTCTGGAAGCCATGATCTATGTATTTTGCTAAGGAGTAACCAGGTCAGCCTGGACCCCCTCCCCCCGTATTATGAGCAATTCGCGCGTGGGAGAGACATACCTCTGATTTGCGCTTTACAGCACAGCTTAGCATCTATCGGACTCGTCCTCTGTGCGCAGATATAATCTGGTTGATCTGGTCGCAAGCGAGTGACGCTCTAATTAAAAGGGTACAGGGACATGAATTAGCAAGCTAGCGGTCGTGAACTATGACGGCAGATTGAGGTTAGCGAAGGGTCACAGCCACCTGAAAAGGAAGAGGGGGCGGTCCGGAGTTACCAAAGACTTTTTATTTCCGCAGAGCCATCTAGAAGACAACGAAGCTCTAGATTACTGGCCACCTGGCAGTAAGCATACAGTGTGGACAAGGAACAAGAAGAAGTAAAAGAAAGATGCAGGTCGAATGTTCGATGCTTGATTGGAGAGGCCACGTTTGGCCGACCGGAGGAGGATGCAAACACACCACACCGCCCGCCGTGTTTGCACTCTTAGCGCCGGAACCCCGACAATCAGGGTCTAAGTTACTTTGTTGAACATCTGAATAAGTATATACTTCATACTTCATACTCCAGTATGTCTAGTCATCGTCAAAGTCGGAGTCACTCATCCAGCCAGTCTCATATGACTCCCGGATCTCACCCAACCCATTGACCAGTGCTTCTCTCTCATCTACTCCGGCAACTCGTCCCGCGAGCATCTCCAATCCCTTAAGCTTCTCCGCCGTCCGGGAGGATGCTGTCAATGCTGCAAGCACTTGGACCTTCTCCTTGGCCTGAGGCAGAGTAAAAATGTTACGAGGAAAGCTGTCCAGAATGGGGAACGACAATGGCGCATGGAACCTGTCAACCCGGTCAGTATACGTATGGTGAAAGGGGAGCAATATCTCTATCCTCACCGCTGAAACATGGGCTCAGAGTTGTAGAGCCGTTGCCTGCGCACGGTGCCCAAGTCCTCTCTCGAGGATTGGTCTTTGCGGTTGGTGCTCATGCCACGCGAAACTTGCAGTTGATTGAAGATATGAGCTTTGTCGCTATCCAATCCGTCGTATGTGAAGTCCAGCTCGAACTTGGTCTTGGGCTTGGAATCGTCTGAGCTTTCTGCTTCATTGGCGTCTTTGTCAAGGCCTCGAGGCGAGTGCTCAGTACCCTCGTCATCTGGCACAATTGTAGACTGCAGCTCGAAGATTCTGTGCACGCCATCGTCACCTGCTAGGGACGCCTCAAAGTCATGATAGGGGCGAAGACGAGTGGGAAGCGTCACACTCTCCAGGGCGGAAGTGATCAATGCTGAAGTATACCACTCGGAGTAAGGGTCAATATGGACCGTTGACGGTAATCGGGTAGGAGGATCCATGATCGGCGTATACAAAGAAGCTTGGGGAGCAATAGCGTAGATGGACCGAGACTTGTTCAGGTCCCGCTTATATTGAGTTTGCTGCGAAAGTCAGCGAATTAATGCTATCAGTCTGCGAGAGAAGATAGTACTCACCCGGTCAACCCTGCGGCCATTCTCTACAGCCCAAACCCAGACTGCCTTCTTGCCATACTCATCCCGGATTCTGTCAACATACTGGGCAGCAAATCCACCCCAGGCGTCATCTGAGCCTGTGAAAAGCTGGAACGCACGCATTTGATCGCACTCTTCTGCGAAGGGTCTTACGTCCCGGTCCAGTAGATCATGCTCCTTGTCGAGGTCTTTAAAAAGTTCCTCTCCAACGGTCCAGTCCTCGAAGGGCATGATCTTTGAATTCAGCTCATATTCATTCAGCTGAACAATAGATCGCGGATGGTAGAAGAGCCGATTGTAGTCCGACCAGTATCGAACTGTCTCTGACGAAAGTGGCGGAGCTGGGAGCCCTGCATCCAGATTCTTCTGATAATCGCTCTGGGGGATTGGGGTCTGATGCTGTATGATTTCTTTCCCGTCCCTACGCCATTGCGAGATTAGACATCTAGGAACTGTCATGGTGGAGATGCACTGCCAGAACCTCAGGCAAAGGTGGCGTCTCACCATAGTCCTTGACCGGGGTTGGCGTCCTCTGACAGCTGGTAGAGAGCATTGTATTTGCGCAGGGTGCCAAATCCCCCTTTTAGATCATAGATGACAGTTCGGGGCGTGAAGGTCTCTGAGCCATCTGCTGCGACACCAGGTCGGAAATGAACGTCATGATCTACAGGTGAATCTTCGTCTTCGTTGTATGTGAAATAAGATTCCTAGCTGCCGTTTTAGCTGGAGATCTAGGATCCGGTCGGCCAGGAGAGGTCACAGCGTACTTGAAGATTCCAGAAGTGCGTTGCCAGATAGTTTGCTCGTTGACCGAGCTGCAACGTGATAATTTCATGCATATTTTAGCGAATCCAATGTCTCGCGTATCAAGCTGAAGTCACGAGGATTATGCACTACTTCAAGACAGAGATATCGAGGTAGGTCCAACAAGCGATAGAAAACTGCAATCGCACAGGCTCAAACTTCCCGACGCGGATAGTGGAAGACTCGATAATTTTAGCATACACCGCTGGAACTTCTCTTGGCGATGCGATGGGATCTCAATCCATAAAGGCGTCAAATGGATAAGTTAAGTTGATGGGAAGCACAGACCATTAGCTAAGCGCACTGCGGCCATGCAGGCTCTTATCCTGTTTGGGACTAGGTCCCAGCTTGTCCCAATTCAGTTAGACACGTCGTCCCAGGCAACGGTCATGTGATGCTGCGTGTTGCGGGCAACAAACAAGACCAGCGGGAAAGAGTGGGTGCGTCACCGATAGGAGGAGAAGATGTGGGTTCGCAATTTTAACCACTCCTTTCGTCTCGACTATCATCCCCCATCCACCACCACCCCTGCTCTTTATCTCTCGGACATGACTGCCATGTACTGATACAAGGTAATCAGTCACTGTCACTTCACCTCGCTCGCAAAACTGCAACGCACACAGGCTTTTCGCCATGGACTCACCATTCTCGAGCCCGACGAAGGCCCTGAACCCCCTATCGCCTGAGCGAATGAACCAACAGTTCAACCCCAATTCCCCATTAACATCCAACATCTTCAACCTCAGAGGCTCACACTCGAGGGGTCTCTCAGATGTTCAGTCCAAAGTCGCCTATCTCAACGGTCTCTCCTCGCGAGGCAACAGTCCTGCTCATGCTCCCGCACAACAACAATCGGCCACCAATTCGGCAGCTTTGCAACGCGCTATCCTAGGACGGGAGGAGGCGGAATCTGCTCTAGCCCACGCAAATACAGAGCTTGCAGAAGCCCAATCTCGTGAACGACGCATCAGTGAACGGCTTGAATCATTACTGGAGGAGCTTCAGACCGCAAAGGAGCGCCAGGCTCATGAGAGGTCGCTGTTCGAGAAGGAGATTCGAAAAGCCCGAAAAGAAGCCTTCCGGGCCGGGTCAGCTATTGTCAAGGTGCAGGAAGACCTAAAGCATGCTAGGACCGAAGGCAAGGCGCTCAAAGATGAAGTGCAGGCGGAGCGACGGGCGAAGGAGCAGGCTAAGCAGGAGGCGTTCGAGCGAGCCTATGCTCTTGCCGGCTTGACTGAGGAGATGGAAGTCCTCAAAGAGCAGTTACGTGTCGCGGAGGCTAATATCAGGTCGCGAAGCTTGAAGGCCCAAAGTCTCAAGCTTAGTCAGGAGGGCGTCGGGCGCATGTCCCTGGCGGAAGGCGATCTCGCTCTGTTGCTAACCCCTACCCCTCGGAGACCCAAACGATCGGCCGAAGACTTTGTTAACTCACCTACCATCAATGCGACAAAACCATCGCCTGCGCACGATACCCCTCCTAAGCGACCGAGACTATCCGACATCACTCCCCGACAGGAAGTCAAGGAACCCGCCGTATCTGAAGCACAGCAGGACAGAGTTGAGGAGCTCGAACGGATTCTCAAACGCGAGCGTCAGCTCAGAACCGACGCGGAGGATCTGATCGAGTTTCTCAGAATGGAGTGTCAATTCAAGCGCTGTTCCTGCCGACTGACGGAGACGGAAGAGATTGGCCACGTGCATGAAGCAGGAACGGTCGAGGCGGCTGAACAACAGGAGCACGAGCAAGAGATCCAACAACCCTTCGAAAACGCGAGCGGCCCATTGAACGACGAAATTGAATCGCACACACCCGACGGCGAGCCAGTTGATTTGGCTGCACAAGAGAATGCGGATGAGACAGTTGACGAAGACGAAGATTTAGAGGAAGCCGAGGAATTCGAGGAAGAGAATGTGGAAGATGCTGAAGACGACGACGATGATCCTGCAGAGGAGCCTATCATCACCTTTTCGCCTGCCACAGGCACGTTCCACACTATTCCTTCGCCTGTCCGAGGATCTCCCCGGAAGCAGCTCCAAGCGAAGGCGATCCATTCCCCGTTGCCAGAGGTCGAGGGCGAGAACGAAGCACCAGCAGCCACAGGTAGTCCTCTCTCAAAGTATGCTACCCAGAGACATGAGATGCCATATGATTCCATTATGGGCAGCGAAGCCTTCGTTCCAGCATCTACTCCAGGAACTCACCGGTCATCCATGATTGTTGATGTCCCGTGGGACCCTGTTCTGCCCGTGACGCACGATAACAGCGCCTCGCAAGGGCACGACGATCTCAAGAAAATCCCAGTACGAGCGGACGAGTCGGCGGCCAATCGCTTTGCTGATGTCCCAGGTACCCCAATCAGCCGGGAAGAAGCCCTGGCTCAGATACGGGCACGCAGGGGGCGGGCCAACATGCAACGCTCTATCAGCGCTGGTGAGAGTGCCCTGCGCTCCGGCGGAATGGGTGTCACTCCCGTCCGATCTGCACGGCGCATCCCCAGTGTCAACAACCCCGAGGTCGGAAGCGATGGCTCCATCCGCACCCGCCGAGACATGAGTGCGCCCATCCGCATGTCCTACCACTGATTGACTCAAAACGTCTTTCGATCCTGTCCTCCTCCTCCTTCTCCATATCCATCTCCTCCATCTCCCCACCTGCCCTCCCTCAACACTCCTGGTTAATGACTCAACAAACTCTCTCTTGATACCCCGGTACTCGACGTGGAAATGGCGTTTTATTTTGAGGAGGGAGTCACATGAGCTTCTTTTTGTCTTTTTTCAATCTTGATGTTCTTCTTGTTCTTGGTACTCATGGCGCGTCTACAAAAGATCTTGATGAATCCTCCCCGCTGAACGTGTTCTCTTACTTCAATGTCATGAAATTGAACTGTCCCGCCCTTCCTGCAGAAGTACATTCATCAATCATTGGTAGCTCTTCTCCGACTTTCATTAACCCCGATCCTCAGTTCGGGTATTTCTTTTTGTTTCTGGTAGGGGGAGCGATTTATGCGCTGGCGTGCGTGGTCTGGCTCAGCTCTTCTTCTCTTGGATAGAGTTTTTGTCACTAAGTTTTATGCCCTTATTTAAATATCTTATCATTTTGGCTAGCTGTAGATGATGCGTAGGGTATTAGTAGCCCAGAATATTGTCGATGGGTTGATATCTAGAATAGGTACAGTTGTTTGTTTCCTGGGATTGACTTACGCCCAAGCGCGAAAGACTGAGACTCTACTATATGACAATTGCCATGCGACTAGATAATGATATATACTATGTCTTCTCAAGCGTGCAGCAGAAAGATCCGTTACCGATTTGGCAAGAAGATAGAGAGCAGAAAAACCAGAAAAAAAAAGCTAGCGAGTATCATGCTAGTTTTTGCGCACGGGAAAGCAGACAGACAAATCACACTTATAGGAGCGAAACACCACAACATCTGAGGCGCGCACTGTCGACGTACGCCCTGCGGCCCCACCAGAGCAGGACGAGCTCCTCGACGAAGACCCGGTCGGCGGCGCTCCACACGTCCAGGCCCATCTCCGTCAGATCCTCGGAGGTGATCTTGACAGGGTCGGAGTCGTGTGGGTGGGCGCTGCCATTGCGGATTTCGCTGGGCTGCTGCTGAGAGAGGAGGGGCCGCCGGGAGTCGTCCTCGTCTGCTTGGGGGGAATGACGGCCAATAGCGAGGGAGGAGGGCTCGGGGTCGTCCTCGTCTTCAGGGTCATACTCCTCTTCGTTGTCGTCTTCGTACGGTGGTTCATTGTCGTCGTCGTCGTCGTTGTCATCCGGGAGATTGCGACTGTCGTGGCGGGCGATCACGTCGGAGAGGGTGATGAAAATCTGGGTGGTGAGGCGGCGGAAGTATGCGACCAGGGCGATTTCGGGGGGCTGCTGCGCGGATTGATGGGGTGGGATGCTGCGCCGGCCAATAGAGCCTAGGGGAGGGCTGGGAAGGGTCTCGACACTGGCGAGGAGGCGCGTGTCTTGCTCAATCTGGTGCTCTTCTTCCTCCTCTTCGGACAGACCGTCGCGCTTTTCGCCCGCCGAAGCCCACCAGATGAAAGAGGTGTATGCCAGGCGAGCCCACGAGAGGGGCTCGACGATGGGACTGGAGGAGTAGGTGGATGCCGCGTCGGAGTCGTCGTCAGGGTCGGTTTGTGCGTCCTCGTTCTGGGACACGTGGCGGAGACCCCTGCAGAGAGTGTAGTAACGGCGCGCATCTCGCTGGGTCGCCTTCAGGACGACTGACTGGGGCGTTCTTCCCTTTGTGGGCTGGGTATGGAAGATAGAGACGGTGGGGAACACCTTCTCCGCAGCGTTTCTGGAATGTGGGGGCGGCAAGGTGACTAGGACATCAAAGAGTTCGGGCTTCACGCTTAAGACGCTGTCCGTACTGCAGGCAATCCAGGCCGAGTCACGGTCGGTCTTGGGCGAGGCACCCACAAAGGAAGCAAGGTAGGGGATGTCGTGTATGCCCACGTTGAACAAGGGGCGCGGTCGGGGAGGAGGGAGCCCGTTTTGAGGGAGCAGGGGAAGGAGCGAATTAGGCAACGAGGCCAATAAAGATAGATCATATACTGGGGCGAGATCGGTCAGAAGCAAGGCAAGTAGCCGGACGGTTGAACATACCATAACTACAAGGAACATGAACTGGAGGCTCTGCCATGAAAAGGACTCGCTTACGCAGCAGGGCTGCTCTGTACAGAGGAAAAATGAGGGGACCGAACGAATCAAGGAAATCTGGAAGCGAGGAAGCTGGGTGGAAGGGCGTCAGGGCCGGCCTGGGCGTTTCCAACATGATCGCATCGCTGAATGCGCGGCTCCGAAGCATGCTGTCGGGCCGGTCCCCGTGGGCCCTCAGACGAAAGCTGAGCGGGGATTCCAACGGAGAATCGGGGGGCATGGCACTGTCACTGTCGCGAGTCTCAAAAGCTCCCCAGTAGTCTTCAAGGGGCTGGGTCTTGGACATATCCTGGGCATAACTCCTGCAGCGATCGCAAGATGTCAGAGGTAGGCACATTGCGACGCACGCGAAGGGTTCGAAGGTCACTCACTGCGCCAATTCCTTCAGCTTGGGCGCATGTCTCCAGCTCTTTCCTAGTCTTCCTGAGCTTAAGGGTACGAGGACCCCAATGGCGAACATCTTCGCATTGCGCTCTGCCTCCTCCGCAGGCCAGTTGACGAAAGCACTAATGCCAGCATATTGCTCGTGGATGAAGTACCTGGAAGAACGGAGTTTTCCATGAGCAAGCAGCCAATATATCATCTGAATGCGATCGCCGACTTACACCAAGTCCTCTGACACATTGTGTAAACCGGATGGGAGTGATTTGTATTCCACCGCTCCTTCGATATCAACTGGTCGATCGGGTTCAGTTCGGGGGGGTGGCACCAGAAATGTTGTCACTACGACTTACCCCCGGGGATTGTTCGTTTCCAGAAGATCACATAACTGATGTGGAGTCAGCTCTCAGCGCAAGCTCCTTGACCGGTGAAGATGTACGTACCCAGCTTTGATGTCGAAACGAATGACGAAGAGAGCCGCAATGCCAGGCGGCGACTCTACCGCAACAGTGCGGGGCACATCGAGACCCAAGGGCTTCCTTTTAAACGGACCAGGGGCCATTGCAGGATTGTGTGTGACGGAGTGAAGAAATCAAATAGACAAAGAGAGTGACAGTCTCCATGGGGTGGGATAACCAGGAGGGCGATCGGCAGCAGGTAACAGCAGCTAAGGTTAGTAGCTTAGCTTGTCGCAGCTGGAGACGTGGAGTCGGTAAGTCTAAGTGATTGATTACGCAGTACGGAATACGGAATACGGGAGGACCTCCAGAACCGCCGGCAGCTCGCGGCCTCAGGTGTCTAATTCTAGTTCTAGCCCGAGTGGGCTAGTGGATCATCCCGTGATCTTTGCTATCAACAAATGGATCGAGGGAAGAGCGCAGCATGATTGAGGTATGATATTAGAGTAGTAGATATAGGGTAGTCAGTCAAGATAGTGTCATAGAGCTTAAATATCTCAAGGGGATTGAGAATACTACTAATATTATAGGTTTCAATGTGAGGTCTCGTCCAACCAACACCTGTCAGACCTCAATCCCAATTCAGTTCCAATATATATCTTCCGCACTGTTGTGATCTGCGCTGCTCCCAACGTTCAGGTTATTCAGCTCTGCAACTAAACCACCTACTACAGGGGATTTTAAGGCTTCAAGGCTAAGAAATCCTGCCAGTTCTCAATCATCTCGACCAACAGTTGCAACCAAATGGAGCTTCCGACCCCCTCCCATCCATTCTATCCCATTGACGCACTCATCAAGGACTACGCGCCTAATGAGGCTCCGTTGCTCACCATCCTGACCACAGCCAGCCTGGGTATGACGGGCTTGCTGGGGGCTACTTGGATGCTGACCGGCTTCAAACGACCTCAAATACCCACAAAAGACCGAATCGCCATTCTGTGGTTTGTGTGCTGTAAGGGCTTGCCTCCAGTTCTCAGTGGCAGTTGGCCTTAGTGTGCTAACATAGTAAACCAAATCACCACTGCAGCTGGGTTTCTGCACTGCTTCTTCGAAGGATACTTCATAATCCACCATAACCACATGGCATCCGCTCAAGACTTCTTCGGGCAGCTCTGGAAGGAATATGCCCTGTCTGATTCGCGGTACATGACCGCAGACACGCTCGTTCTCTGCATGGAGACCATCACGGTGGTAGGTTTCGAAAGGCCCCCCGAAATGCTTGGCGGGAATTTTTCACAAATTCAACAATGACCCTTAAGTTAACGAATAATTATCGTAGCTGGTCTGGGGCCCCTTATGCTTCCTGGTCGCATATTTGATTGCGAGGCACCACTCTCTGCGTCACCCCTTTCAGATCATTGTCTGCATGAGCCACCTGTATGGCGATGTTCTGTACTATGCCACCAGCTTATTCGATCACTACGTGCATGGAATTGCCTACTGTCGTCCCGAGGCTTTTTATTTTTGGATCTACTACTTCTTGATGAACTTCGTCTGGATCGTGGTTCCATTCTGTCAGTCTTTTCCTCGTGGGCGGGTTCGTGGTATTGATGCTTACTGGAATGGACAGATTATCTCTGCCAGAGCATGCGGAGTATATCCGCGGCTTTTACGGCTCTGGAAGCAAGATCGGCACAACACAAGGCGCGATAGTATCTCAGAAAATAGGTATGATGTCATTGTGATCTGGGCGGTTTTGGAGAACCGGGGGTTGGTGGGTGAAGGGAATTGGATAAGTTACCGCGAGCCTCGCTAGGCCCGACTTGCTGCGCGGGGTGGTTCTAGGCTGGGGGAAACAACCTTTAAGTGCATCAAGAAAATTTAAATTTAGCGAGGAGGATCAATATTCCGGCCAGGAACTCGACACATGCCATCATGATTGCTCAGATGGAGAGGGGATCTGTATCAATCTCGCTCACGTCGTCACGATTGACAGCACTGAGTTGGGATCGGGATAAACACTTAGCACCGATTGCATGACAACGCAGAGAAAGCAATCACTAGGTTAGCACAAATAATCAATAGTGCGCCCAGGACGCAGTGCCCTATATTTCCTCTTGGCCCACTCTGACGCGTAGACTTCGTAGTGGACCGTCCTAGGCCTCTTGATTTCTTGCTTGTTTCGCTGTCGAGGATGAGATAGTCTGTTACCTAGTCGAGGACGTGGGGAAGGAGCTTGACCTCTTATCCTGGCATGTTCTGTACGTCAATCACGTATGGGGCGAGGACCCAGAGAGAGGGAACGAGGACTTGGACAAAGAGACGGGAATCGACGGAAGAACCTTGTGAAGTAGGAATTCCTCATGCGCTCGGTCAGGAGGACTCTTTATAGGGGAGAAAGCTGCGTAGGATATACTTCGTGGCGTCCGTGCAGAGCGCTGGGACCAGGGAAGGGGAGGGATGGAGGGATGGAGGAAAAAGGTGCGAAGAACTGACTTGAGGGGGGGGGGGAAGAGGGTCCAGGCGTGAGACAAGAACCACTGAAGATATCATTAGCCAGCAGCAGCAGCGACAACAACAACAGTAGCAGCAGCAGCAGCCATGATGCATCTTACTAACCTTGCAGCTCACTCCTTCCATCATTTCCGTGGTATATATATTAAAGGGTGATCAGTCCCGTCCTCGTGCGTATATGTACCTGATGGATGACCAACGAACCACCGGTCGCAAAAAAGCATATCGGAGCAGCCTGACCAGAAACTCAACTGAGCATAACTAGTAAGGAGAAGGTTGCCTTAAATTCATGTATTGCCTCTTTCTCGGTGGCTGGCTCCAGCGACTGACTGGCTCGGATTGGGCGCCAGTGTGATTTCATGACCACAAAGTAAGTCATCTGGATGTGATGTGAATGGATTGTTCGTTCGTTCGTCTTTGCGCTTCGGTTTCCCGGGCAGCCTGCGGCTTTTTGCTCCAGCGTTTGCGAAAAAGAATTGTTAGTCCCGGGCGGAGTATACAACCCAAAACTCTCCACTTTCTCCCCTCATCCGAGCTCAATCCTTTGCTTTGCCCCCCCCTTCACTCGAATTTGAACCCAGCACTCCCGAGGGGTTGTTGATGTTTGAATGAGAAAACGAGCAGTCAGACCGGCCAATGACTGATCATCTTCTCACCAGCATCTCGAACTCAATTTAGCCAAAATCTGCTGCTGGTAATTGTCGTGGTTTAAATTGTTCGGCCGGTGAAAGACCGCATCAGAGAAAGAGGGAGAGAGAAAGAGAGAGAGAGAGAGAGAGAGACCCGATCTACTTTTGACCGCCTGTTTCGCTTCTTCCCTGGTGGAATGTTCGCTTCTATCTCTTTCGATTCGACTTCCTTTCAACGATCTTCCTAGAAGCTTGCAATTCATTTATTCCCTGTAATTTCCTGCAATTTCCCTGCTGTTGTCTGCCAGGGTAGTTATGCATGAGCTGTTGTGCTGAGCTTTACTAGTGAGTGAGCTTTTCCCTCCCCCTCATAAACAAACATTTAAAGTGACGTCGGCGGGTTGCCGTCGCGCCATGTCCACCGCGAATTTTCGCACCTTCAACCCAATGCATTCCAATACAGTTTCAAACCAAGTTGAAGCTCTATATTTCAGAAAACATCATGCTAAAATCCATCCGAGCTTATAGACTTCCATGCCATCTCCTGTTCATCCGCAGCGTCCCTCCAACCGCGGGGGAGCCGCCAAAGTCTCACCCACCAAGACAAAACCCCTCGATATCGGTCGGCCTTTGGGAATCTACGATACCAATTCCGTGCGAGAAAAAGTGCGCAAATGGCAACAGCAAGGAGGAGGGGTGATCACCGCCAACGACGGAGTCTACTACGACGATGAGGAGGAGAACAACTCCGCCGCCGAATCCAAGCCTAAACTCGCCAATGAAAAGCCCTCCGGCAGCTCCAACAGCTCCGTAATCACCAGAATGCGAAGCCAAAGCACCCCGCGCAAACGAGTCATCAGTGATGAGCACTGGAAGTTGAATCGGACGCCCACCCAGGCTCAGGCCGCTGCCGCGAAACTACCGGCCCCCAAGCGCATCTCCGAGTACACAACAAACGATGCACTACGCTCGGCGCGCAATCCGGGCAAGGACGACGATGGGATCTCGCCCCCCACATCACGAAGTCGCGACCGGGACCGCTCCACGGATCTGGCGACGAGGGAGCGGAGGAAGTCCCGTGCATCGCGGGATGTGGAGACAATACCAGAGGAAAGGGGGGAGGAGAACAGTGGATCGCACAATGGATCCTCGAAGTCGACTTCGCGACCGTCCTCGGGGAAAGGGCATACTCGTGCCAAATCAGAGCAGCCGCAAAGTTCGAAATACAAGGATCTGCCTCTAGACGACGACTCAGAGTGGGCAACGAGCGAGGCGGACTTCTCGGAATTGTCCAGGCGCCGCGCGCGAGGCTCTAACCCGACGCCCAAGGCTCCGACGCCCAAGGCTCCGTCCCCTAAAGGGCCTGGCCTCAATGCGCTTAAAGCCCGGATGGCCGCGAAACCACCGAAAGGAGGGATCTTTGAGCACATGCTAGATGCATCAAAAGAAATATTTGGCAAACCCGAGCCACCCAAACCAGCACCACCCCGGGGCGCCAAAATCCAAGCATGGCTGTCCAATACTCCAGACCCCTTTTCGGAGGGTATCGAATCGGATGTAGAGGTTCCGGCGCCGCTGAAGATGAGGTTTGGCAATGGTAAACCGACCACCAAATCCGAAAAGTCGCATGGGAGCGATGTGGAGCATTCCTTGGATAGTGACACTCCCCGCCAAGACGCGCCGTCGCGGCGAAGCAAGGGAGATGGGAATTCCCCGGCAAGCGACCGAGCCAAGCCAAAGGAAGAGGTTGCTAGGGGTTCGGGAGCTCACAGAGATGGTAGTGCCTCATCGAAGAAGAAGCACGGTGAAAGCACAGGCAGCCGACCATCATCCAGAGGCAAAGATTTGCCTCTCCGAGAGCGTCCTCGTGACATGAAGGATGATGTGTCTGAGGCTGGAACACATCCGCTCTCTGAGGGCTCGGAAGTGTCTGGTAACAGTGCGCCTGTACCGCTGGGGCGCACGAAGCCTATCCCTACCACTGGAGCGCACCCTCTAACTACAATCGCTTCTGTGGAGTCAATGAGTAAAGGAGCTAATGCTGCAGCGGCATCCGTTCCGGAAACGCAGGAATCTTCAGCCAAGGCAAAGGAAGACGACGAAGAGCGGGACTCATTCGACCCGAACTCACTGCCTGTGGTTTCCTCCCAACTTAAAAGACGACTCACTACCCATGACGATCTAATCTCAGTCTTGTCAGCCCCAAACAGCAGGAGCAGAAGCCTTCGGTCTGCGAGGAGCTTGAAGACGAAGAACCGTGTGGCCTCGGAGACCATCCCAGACATACTCAAGGAGTTGTCTGCCGACGAAGCGAAGTATATGCGTGAGCTGAAGACTTTGGTCGGCGGTGTGATTCCTGTCCTCCTGACTTGCGTGCTTTCACGGTCTGATTCTGCAATCGCAGCTGGTCTGTTTCGACCGTCCGCGGACCCCAAAGACGAAGTCAATTTCAGCAAGCCCATCGTCGATATGGGTGTGGCCATTGAGCGGCTGAAGACCTTGCACAAGCGGATTCCCGAAGACAATGTCGATGCGCTACTGAACTGGGCACATGGGGCACAAAGGGTGTATCGCGAGTACCTGAAAGCCTGGCGGTTAGGATTCAAGGACGTCATCGTGAATCTTGCGCCCTTGGAGGAAGGAGAAGGGGCAGAAAATGCCGACACCAAGAGCCTGGACGAGGGCATGGCAAGAGACGAGAATGGGGACGTCGTGGATAGCGACGGCGAAAAAGTCGATGTTGCCTATCTCTTGAAGCGACCACTAGTGCGCCTGAAATACCTTGCAAAGACCTTCAAGGGGATCAAGACGCTGCAACCATCCCCCAAAGCAGAAGAAATCGCCTCGGGCTATCAGACGTTGGTGACAGAAGCTCGTCGCCGTGCGAGGGAGGAAAGAGCCAGGCTTGAAGACGAGTCGGCGGCCAGCATTGATGCGACACGCGCGCGCGATCCTGCGACATTGGGTGCTCTGACTGAGGTGACCGTGAATCGGTCTCGACGAGTTCGTGCCCGTGACTTCTTTAATCTATCTCTGTACCATTCCAGTGGGCAAATGATCGATTGTCGTGCAGAACTTCTCTTGAGAGACGCCACCCCACAGAACAGAGGGGAAGGCGACCTCCTGATCTGTGAGATCGATCATACGGATCGTTGGCTACTGTTCCCTCCCATAGCGCTGAACTGCGTCTCTGCGCGGAATGGAGATACTAAGGGGGAGATTATTGTTATGTTGCGAAGCGCTCCAGGGCAGGAGAAAGCATGGCAGGAGCTTCTCATTCTTCAGATCGAGGAGGAGGAGATTGGGAATGAATGGGTGCAGATGCTGGGTCTAGTCCCTGTTCCACCGGCAATCTGCCGTACTCAGAGCTTCATCGACCGAGCCAAGCAACGAAAACGGGCACAGACGATCTCATCCTCCACCGAGGCTTCTCAAGTACAGCGAGCGCCTCCAAGTCCGACAAACGTCAACATACCGATTGGAGAGAAGGCTGAGATTCGAGCTAAGCGTCGATCTCTGACGCCTCGTGACCAATTCTCTGAGCCAGGTACCTTCGGATCTTCATGGGCCAACGACTCGTATACCTCGTTGCACAGTGCAATGACGCGGGAGTCTGATTATGCTACGGGCGAAGGAGAAAATACTTCCAAGGCTTCGCCCCGGTCTCAACCTATCCTTCACGCGAGGGAGCCGCGAAAGAGCTTCACCGGCGATGACAGACCGCACGGGCTCAAGCGCTCCAAGGCCAAGCGGGTTTCGCGCTACGGCGAGAGTACGCCCACGGAACCAATCGTGGACAAGGGCAAGGCCCGAGAACCCGAGGAAATCAGACCTGTCGAACAGAAAAAGCCCAAAGAACAAGATCGCCCCCAAAGGCCGCCTATGCCGGATAGAAGGTTGTCCTCCGTGCCATCGATGGACCTTCCCGTGATCCCCAAGCTCCGAAGAGGCAGTAGCCAGACATACATTACTGACTCGCTGGCATCCACCTCGGACGATGACGATTATTCCGCCATTGAGTCGGCCTATTTCACTGAGACTCCAACGGAGCAGGAAGAGCCTCCAGCCCCGCCACCGCATTCTCGCTCACCGAGTTCGACCGGCTCAAGTCTATCCAATGCTCCAGTGCTAAGCCCAGGCAATGGACGCCTCAAGCGTCGTGGCTCTTCGCCCTTGAAACACGAGTATGAACCGTCCACCGCTTCAGACTCTTACTCAGATTCTGACACGTCAACTGTGCGGCGCTATGACATGCAGTCGGGGTCAGAATACTCGGCAACGGACAGCTCCGACGACGAGACCGAAGATGAACTTGCGTCCTTGCCAACCCGCCAGCTTTCCAAGTCCCATGTGCAGGACTCCGTCATGACCTCTGCTAGCACCTCCTTGTCCTTGACAAATGCAGCATCCGAGGGCGGGTATAGATCGGTTCCGTCGCAGCCCGCCAAGTCGTCTGCCGCCATCGCTGCCGTCTTTGCCTGGTCCGATAAGGGTTCTTGGGAAAGCATATTCCCCGATGAGTGCAAGGTCATTGTTAGCCCCGGGCTGATTGAGGCGTACAATATGAGCGATGCTCCTATGGGGATGGAAGATGAAGCCACGTTGAAAAAGCTCCGCCCGCTGGTTGCGCTTGAGCTTACCCCCCTTGTTCCTATCCGACGTGGTACAGCGATCGACATCAGCATTCGCTCCCCACCGACCAAACGCTCGAAGATCAATTGGAGTAACAACATCATGTTCCGCTCACGGAATGCAGATGAGTGCGAGGTCCTGTATGGGCTCATCAACCACGCGCGCATCAACAACCCCACCTACATCGCCTTGCAGAACGCCCGAGGTCCGTACGCCGACCAAGCCCTTCCCGAGGAGGCCCCCAGCCGAAGCGGCGGCCTGTTTGGTTGGCCCCGGCGCAGGCGAAGCTACCGTGCTGCCACCACCTCCCCACGATCGCAAGCCGACAACTCCGATAGCAGCGTAGGCACTGTGAGCAGCGCTTTCTCCGCTCTCAAGCGCTTCGGCGCCGGAAGCAAGATGTTCAACATCTCGCGCTCCTCTCTGACATCCCGCAACGGTCACGGCCAGAAGGAAGACAGTCTCTATTCCGACTCCCTCGGCTCCCACGCATCGCCTTCCTCGGGTATTGGTCGCATCGCCGCCGCTATCAAGGGCGTCGACGGCATCGGGCTGTCCAATGCTAAGATCCGACTGTATATGCGTGAGACGCAGTCGAAGTGGCGCGACATGGGCGCCGCGCGACTGACCATTATGCCTGCACCGCACACCGAGCCTCGCGAAGCCGGCCGGAGTGACTCAACCACGTTCTCGGAGGGCATGGACGGAAGTCCCCCGAGCTCCGGGGCTGCATCCCCGCGTCGGCCCATGGAATCCGAGAAGCGCATCCTCATCCGCGGCAAGACGCGCGGCGAGGTGCTCTTAGATGTCTGCCTCGGCGAGAGCTGCTTCGAGCGGGTCGCCCGCACCGGTATCGCCGTCTCGGTGTGGGAGGAGACCGAGGGCGGCGCCATGCCCAAGAAGGGCGGCGTCATGGTGGGATTCTCGCGGATCTACATGATCCAGATGAAGAGTGAAGCCGAGGCTGCGTATACGTTTGGCCTTGTCGGGAAGTCCAAGTATTAGCTGTCTGCCTCCACAAGTCTTTGATATGATTCCCCTCGTTGCTTTTTCTTTTTTATCTGTTGTTTTGTTGTCTCAATCATCATGTCTAAATCTCTCTACCTCAGGTCAAATCTCCACCCATTTGAACTTTTTTTTTTCGACTAGCATGTCCTGAATCTCAGCGTTTCTTATTTGTGTCGCTCTGTCTTGCTGCTGCCTGCTATACGTTATCTCTGCGCATACCCCCCCCCGCCCCCAATTCTCATACCCCATTTGTATTGCTCAGCTCAGTTTCCCTGTTTATAGCTTTATACATACCTTCTTTTTCCACCGCACAGATCATTGGTATTTATATCATGTGGAATGCGTATCTACTGTGCATTGTACATTAACCATTGAATCAAGTCCACCTGAACGCTCACGGGTTGACCTAGTTACCGACCTTGATTAACATAAGACCTGTAGTAGATCTTCTTACTGTATCTATAACTAACCAGTCTATCCAAGAATAGTCCGAGTCGTTCCAAGAAGAAAAGAAGATACAAGACGGAAAGGGAATACATCTGTATCAGTATACTACCTATAAGCACCACCATGCAAATGCAAGTAAGACATTCAGTCTATACATCCTAAAGCATTATACAGGATACCCTCGACGATGCCATAATCATAACTCCATCCTATATCTATACTCATTAAACCAATGTATAACCCCCCCACCCAGCCTTTCCGTTTCCAGTCAAACCCAAGTAAGTCCGCGTTTCGGTGCTAAGAGCCTGAAATCCTGAATCGTAGCCCTCCCCCTCCCCATCCCCTGATCCCCATCTTCCGTTCCCATCCCCAGCCTCGTTTCCCAACTCTTTCTTGTCTAGGTATTCCCACCACCGCTAGCTTTCTTGAAAATATATCCCACGCGATTCCCCTCGTCGCGCAACATAGCAACAAGGACCTCATCGTCCAGGACGGACTCGAGGGCCGGGACGAGCTCGTCATCGCCTCTGATCTCCTCGGGGGGCGCGGTGAGATGGTACGGGTCGATGTGGCGGTACTGCGCGAGAGATTGCTTGATTCGCTGTTTTTGGGTGGTGGTGGGGGCGGCTTGTTGGGTCTGGGTTTGTGCGGTCATGGAGGTGTCAATGTCAGCGCCAGGGACAGCGTCAGCGCCGGTGTCTGAGGGTGAGGAAGGGGGGATTGGACGGCGGGAGGCGCGCCGGGGTCGTGGGTTGGGCGCTGGCTCTTTCTTGTCTTTCTCGCGGCCGAGATGAGAGGCTTGGATGAGGGTGGGGAGGGCGGGGAAGTCCTCTTCATCTTCTGGTTCTTCTGGTTCCTCCTCCTCGGAGGCGGGGATGGGGGCCGGTTCTGCTTCGGCTTCATCGTTCATGGCAGATGGTGGCTGCGGCTGCGGCTGTTGACCGGTGCCTCCACACTCACACCCCAGCAATACATGCGTCTGACATCGACTCTCCTCGTCCAACCGGAACAGATCACGCAGCTCGTCGCGGGAAAAATGTGCCATTGATGATGACGATGATGACGAGGTAGCCGCACCATTGGCAGCATCTGTCGTCATCACGCTATCCGCCAACCCCAGCTTCGTCACCTGCCGCTGCCAGATCTTCTCCTCGAGACTGCCCTTCAGCAGGATTCGGTAGATCCGGCACGGCCGTTTTTGGCCGTCGCGGTGGATGCGCGCCATCGCCTGGATGTCCGTGGCCGGGTTCCAGTCGACATCGAACAGAACCAAGCGGCTGGCGCCGATGAGGTTCAGCCCCGTGCCGCCGGCTTTGGCCGACAGGAGAAACGCGAAGCAGAGGTCCGAGGGCAGGCGGTTGAAGTCCTCGACGAGGGCGTGGCGTTTCTGGGCCGGGGTGGAGCCGTCGAGGCGGAGGAAGGGGAGGGAAAGGGACGACAGCAGATTGGCGAGGAGGTTGAGGGTTGAGGTGTAGTTCGAGACGAGGACGATCTTCTCCGCGCGGGAGGTCATGCGGAGGTGATGAAGGAGCTGGTCGAGGACGCGGATCTTGGCACTCGAGGACGGGGCGAAGTGGCGGAGGAGGTTGGGAGGCAGGGAGGAGAGAAGCGCGGCGACGGTGGAGTTGGGGGAGCTGTCCTTGTTCTTGTCCTCAGTGGCACTAGGCGAGAGGAGCGAGGGGCTGTTGCAGAGCTTCTTGAGGATAGTAATGAGCTGGAGCGCGCTCTCGGTGTTGCCGATGGCGCTCTGGAAAATGGGCGATGCCAGCACGTTCTGGTAGATATTGGCCTGCGTGCGCGTGGGGTTGCAAAAGAGGACGTATTCGGATTTGGGCGGGAGGTATTTGGCCAGGATGTCTGCCGTGCGGCGCAGCATGAACTTGGAGGTCAGCTCGCGGAGCTCTTCGTTGCGGGCTTCACCTTTCTCGATGTCCTCCTCGGTAGCCTCGGGCTGTCGACTCTTCACGATAGGGATCTCGAAGTCCTTGACGAAGGCCTTGAATGTGCCCAGGACGCCCGGATTGACGAGGTCCACGGCCGCGAAGAATTCCTTGAGGTCGTTCTGGATCGGGGTCCCGGACAGGATGATCCTCTTGCTGGCATTCAGCGATTGGATGGCTTGTCCACTCTTGTTCTGGAGGGTCTTCAGCCGATGCCCTTCGTCTGCAATGATGATGTCGACGCCATTGCCTCGAGCCAGTCCCTCCTGCACCGACCTCAGCTTCTCATAACCCACAATCATGATACTATACGCCTTGCCCTTGGTGAAATCAGTCAGCCGCTTGCGTTTATCGTTGTCGAAGACGAAGACGCCAATGCGTTCGTTGCCCAGCCACTTGCGGATCTCCTTGCGCCAGTTACTGATCAGTGTCACGGGACAAACGATGAGCGCCTTCTTCACGACCGGAGAGTCGCCGTAGACGGGGTTCTGCTTCAGCAGCGTCCACAAGAGAGTGATGGTCTGCAGCGTCTTGCCCAAGCCCATGTCGTCCGCAAGGATTGCGCCTTCGCCGTTGAAGGAGCGCATCCCCATGACACACTCGTAGAGAAACTGGACTCCCTCGCGCTGATGGGGGCGAAGATGTTTCGCTAGGATGGGATCAACCACCACATCGACGATCTTCTTGCCGTTGGGCACGCACTCTGGGCGTTTCATGACCAACGCCCCCGGCTGGGTAGGGTCATGCCGGGGGACGGGCACTTCTGCAGCGGTAGAAGGCTGCGGTATGACAGTGGAATCCAGCAGCGGTCGCTTGTAACCCGCAGAAATCCCGCCTTTTTTGGACGCGGGGTTCGCAATTCGAATAGGACTGGGTTTCGCATCGACAGCCGCATCCTCTTTTCCTTTGCTCCCTTGTCTGTTGTTGCTGCTGCTGCTGCTGCTGCTGCTGCCACTCCGCACCAAACCAGATGCCTTCACCGATGTCACCGAAGCAGCAGCAGAAACAGCCCTCGCAGCCAGATACTCCCCCCGCGAGATCTCGCAATCCACCTCGACCTCCTTCCCAGCAATCGACAGCATGACCCCAACCTCCAGACCTCTAGCCCTCGACACCACCCCGCGACCCATATCCCGCCCCGTGGCATGATCGTGCATATAGGCATAGCCATCCTTCACCCGGAGCACCGCATCGCCATCCCAGGTTTTGTTTTTCTTGGTGGTTACTTTGCGCCTGTTCCCATGCATGAGATTGGTCTTTTCTCCTGTACCATAGACACACCCGCCCTGCCTGTTCAGGGAACGGACGGGGGAGGGATTACCACTCACCACAAGACATTAAAATAACTCTCCTGGCCCTCCTCATCCAAACCTTGACCCTTACCCTTCGCAGCAGACACACCAGTGGTAGTAGTAGTAGTAGTAGTAGTAGTAGTAGTAGTAGTAGTAGGAGTAGTAGTAGCAATAGTAGGAGGAGTAGGAGCAGTTTCTTTCCTCGCATCACCGCCACCACCACGACTCCCACTATCAGCACTACTCTCCCCCCTAGGCCGATTCAACCCCGGTCCCTCCCTCCCAGCGACTCGAGAAGAAACCGTCTCAGTAGCAAGCGACCTCCGGGGTGTCGGTGTGGGTGTCGTCGCCAAACACAATAAGGTCGCCTTCCCTCTTCTCTTCTGCGGTTGCTGTTGCTGTTGCTGCTGCGGCACCGAATCCACCACCCCCGGCACGACCCCCCGGTTCTCAATTCCCGTCACCGCATGATGTAAATGTATACGCTGTTTCTTCGCGGGTGGTTCGTCGCTTGCGGTAGGATCTTGATTGTTTGTAGTGCTGGCGGTCGTAACCGCAGCAGAAGGTGCAGCTGTAGCTGTAGCTGTGGTTGTGGTTGTACTAGCACCGGGAGTCGCGAACGGAGACGATGATGGGATGGGTTTGCGGATGAGCGGGGATTTGAAGGGTTTGAAGACCATACTAGCGTCCCTTATCACCCTGTGGGGTATGTTTGAGGGGGGGACTGGGGGAAATATTTGTTTCAACTAACTAGAAGGTGATGGGTTGTTTTTTGGGGTTGCTTTTGATGCGTGGGACGCGCCGGCGAGAGACGCGCGGTCACGTGGGTGTTGAGATTCGGGGTTGCCGTTTTGGGCCGAGGGTGGAGGTACATGACCCGAGTATATCCTCCATTGAAAATACCTCAGCTGTCGGTGTGCATGCATGCATGCATCGATGGGGGATGTAGTGAGGGAGGGTGGATTCTTCTTTGTCTGTTGTGTTGACTCGAGCAGGTGCGAGGGGATTTGTTGACAACTGGTAACTAAATCCTGCTACTAAGTTACTGGACTGTGAGAATTATTTGAATATGCCAGGGCACTAGTATCATAATATACTACCGACTAAATGCAGCCTTTTACTCACTCACTGTCAACACAACTCTCTACTTCTTAATCTACAGCTACTAGTCTAACAGACACTACTCATCGCCATCTCCCTCTCCCGAAACCACCGCGCAATCTCCCCCGTCTGACAAAACTCCACCTCCTCCCCCCAGCCTTGCAACCAGCGCAGCAACCGCTCCAGCATGCCAATGACATGCGTCATCCCACTGGTGTCCGGATGCATCAGCACCGGGAAGATGGGCTCCTCCTCGTTCTCGCGGATCCACAGGAAGCGGTCCTTCCACATGTTCTCGATCACGCGCACGTCCGTGTAGCCGTGCGAGTTGGGCGCGTGCGGCAGGAACTGCATCGGGGTCATGTCCTCCATGTACCAGTTACAGGGGACGCAGACGAGCGGACGACGGTCGGGCGTTGTGGGGGACTGTGGGATGGGGTGCATCCAGGAGGCGGCGGGGCGGGAGAAGTCGATGGGTTCCAGCGGGGGACGGCGCGGGGCGAAGAACGGATGGCAGTCGTGGTCGGTGAGGGAGGCATCTGAGGATTGCGTTAGCCCTTCCTCAACCAAACGCTAACTCACAGGCAGGCAGGCAGGCAGGCAGGCAGGTGGGTTCACCGGGAACAGACCGTATTCAAAGCCAAACTCCTCAAGCAGGTCCATCGTCGACTCCCGGAGCTGGTAGAGCGGGGCTCGATACCCGACGGGTTTCTGGCCGGTGAGCTTGGTGGCGATCTCGATGCATTTGACGAGCACGTCGCGCTCTTGCTCGACGGTGAGTTGATAAGCGCCCTCGTGGGCATAGCCGTGCAGCCCGATCTCGCAGCCTGTCTCTACCACCTGGCGCACCTCGTCGGGGAAGCTCTCCGCGGAGTGACCCGGGATGAACCATGTGCAGCGATCCGCCAGGTTGAGCTTCTTCAGCATGCGCACAAGTCGTGGAACGCCCACGCGGGCTGCAAAGAATCCGGCGGAGTAGTCGGCGAGGATGTTTTCGGGGTGTTGCCCTGTGATGCACAATAAAAAAAGAAACGGATTTCAGAATTGGATACGTGCCGGAGAGATGCGGGTGGGAGGTCACAAACCCGTTCCTAGCCATCCAGACACCGCATCCAGGTCAATGGACACGGCCACCCGGATCTTGTTGCGCTTCGGTGTCGTCAAGGTCGATGGAATCGACGACACGAGGGACAACTCCCGACAACCGGTGGTCGTCGTCTCCTCGCTCTCCTTCCAAACCAGACGTCCCTCCATGCCACCATCCACCCTCAAGCACTGGCCTGAAATGTGGCCAGCTGCACGATGAGAAGCCAGAAAGGCCATCGTACGAGCCACCTCCTCCGGTCTCGCAATCTTCCTCTGTGACACCCTACCTTGACCGTCAGCGACGTTTTTTCACCGGTCCCTGCCATCAGCAAGGGCAAGAGAGTTGAAAACTTACGTTGCCTGAGCCTCAACCCACAGCTCTTTCGGATCATCCAGACGGCCCTCAATGCGAGGGGTGTCAACCCACCCCGGAGCCACAGCATTGATTCTCGCCCTGCGGTTGAGCCGAACAATCTCGTTCTGCACCCTCCGAACCAGCCCATCCTCCTGCAAGCCCGCCTTGCCCGAGGCATACTCGGCATGTCCCTCCTGGCCGAACCTGCCTGTCTCGCTGCCCGTCACGACAATAGCAAGGTTGTCCAGCTCCCTACCCAGCGCCTGCTGGGTCTGCTGGGCGGACCGGAGGAAGTGTTTGATCGTAAGAAAGGTCCCGCGCACGTTGACGCGGTACGTCTTCTCCCACAGCTCGAGGGGAAGCTCCCAGAGGGGGTAGTCCTGGCCTTCATCGGTGATGCCTGCGTTGGCGATGAGGATGTTGATGGGTCCGAAGCGCTTGGTGGCCTGCGAGACGCTAGAGCGAATGGACTCTTCATCGGTGATGTCGCCCTGGAGCATGTGCAGTCGCGAGTAGACGTCCGCAGGGGCTTGAGCGAGCTCCAGAGGACGAAGATCCAGGGCGGTGACTTTACATCCTTGGTCTGTATGCAGGTTTTTTAGCATTCATTATCTCCCTCCTACTAGCAGGAACAAAATCTTATTATTGCACATGGCCTCCCAGACATACTGGGTATGCATTGCAGCCATTTCACTGCCAGCTCACGCAGAGAGACCAAGCTGGAGTCATGACCAATATAGAGATGACTACGTAGGCAAAGATTGGGGGGCGGGAGAGGGAGGCAAATGAAACACTCCAATCGATATCACTTACCCAGGAATTCCTGCACTGCTCGTCGTCCAATGCCACCCGCGGCTCCAGTGATTAGGACATGGAGTCCCTCCAGCCCGAAAAAAGAAGAAGAAGACATAGGAAAACAGTGGTTGCGTCAGTCCTCCGCTCAATGCCGATGGATCGATACCAGCAGTGTGCCCCTATAGTACGTCGTTTTAACAACCAGTCTAGCGCCGATGATGAGCAATCTTACTAGTGATACTCCGTAGGAAAGTTAGCCAATGGAAAAACTTTTCCCAGGGCTGGATGTAGCCTATGGCGTGTTATCTTGAAGATCGATCAGATGCACAAGTGCTTACGATTTCAATCTGTTCTCCTGCAGGGCATAGGGCTGGGCTGCAGGGGGAAGGAAGATGTTAACGTAATTGACGCAGCCAAGATCCCACTCCTTCTATGACGGTCTATCCACCACGCACAATAACTTATCAATCATCAAACAAAGACTGCTAGAGGATGTTTTTAAATTGTCTTGCGATCATTTGATCCAGGGGGAGGGTTCCCGATAGGCGCATCACGTGTCTGCTTTCCCTTCTCCTTTCAAACGGGATTTAATTTACGATAAGCAAAGGCGAATGAAATAAATGAGTTAGTATCTCAAGGCTGCCCTGCCATCCCCCCCCCTAAATCACTGCTTGATTCAACTCACGCAGCGCCCGCCTGCTTAGTGCAAGAAGCTGTACTCCGTTCTCTGGGCACGGAAGACCGACGTTTCTGGTGTTTTCGGGCCGAGCATCCCAAAAGAGGCTAACTTATCCCGTCCGTTCTTTCTTGCTCGATAGATAGAGCCTGCCTGCGTCCCTGGAAGGATTCAGTCCGGCGCAATCCTGCTCGTATACTGTGTATATGTGGCGCGCGAAGTCGCGTTGCGGTCATGGAGGTCTATTCCGTGTACGGAGTACTCCGTACAACGCCCAGTCTACGGAGTACTCAATCGACCCTGCAGGATTCAGCCCGGCTGACCGCGTTGGCTGTCCATGAGATACGAAATTTCAGCGATATCCTGCCTGGTCAACCGCGAGACATTGCTTAATGTGCAGGTTGAAAATCACAGTCGCGCTGTAGAGTCCTGAGCAAGGTCAATCCGCTACGGACTAGAAATGCCTACCTATTGACTAGAACAACTTGGGCTCGGCAAAAAAGAAAAAGAAAAAAAGCATGCAAGACTGTCAACCATGCAAGCACCGAGGGGCAATGCATGCCGGACCCGGACTTTTCCGCGAGTCCCTTTCATCGCAACCCCGGAGGTACTCCGTAGTCTAGAATCAAACCCCGACTCGTTAAGTGTCGACCAGAAAAGGAGTGCAAGCACTGACTGCGGCCATCCGTCTCCCTCAAAAAGTCTGAATGCAAGACTCGGGAACATCTCCCCGTCAAAAGCATTTAGCTAGTCAGGGGATTCGTGGATGGACAACCACCGATGCCCAAAAATATGAGAGTGCGGGAGAACGGAGGCCACTGCGAGTCATGCTGGAGACACACTCGATGCCTTATCATAGGGAGGTGGCAAAGACCCCTTCCCACGCATTGCGGGTACAGTAACTCACTAACGAGGGGAGAAGGGATCTTCTGGGGGAGGGCATTGTAAGCGGGAGTGCCGCGTGCATCCTGGCCGGCCTTCCGTGCTGTGACGACCCATCCAGGACTCCAGTCAGTTCTTGGTCCGTGGGTCGATGTCGGCCGAGAATAAAAAAAAGATCCTTGCCCAAAGCGGTTATTGCGGAGTGGAGACCGATAGAAAGAGAGAGAGAGAAAAGAAAAAAGAGAGAGGCACAGTATGGTCCATGGAATGGAAAGGGCTCTCAGGATTTTGATGCTGGCGATGTAACCAATGATCATGGTTGGAGAATGAAAATCACCATTTTCACCTTTCTCTCTTGCTGGTGCTCGAGGTTGGGTGGTCATCGAGATAAAAAAAATAAAAAAAAAAGAAGAGAGCGCAAGAATACTGGAAAGGCAGACTTTTTCTCCTGGTGCCTGAGGGGGCTTGTTGTTCTCACTTAAGTTAACATGACTGACTTACTTAAAAGGCTGAGGCGAAAACTCTGCCAGTGCATTCAATTTAATCTAATAGACGCAATCATGATTAACGGACGGACGGATGGAAGCGGACGGGGAATCTCCTCCCGGAGTAAACCGTCCTGTCAGACATTACAGACATTCGCCCCCGTGAATGTTGCCGCATTGGGGGACGCACGAAGCACTGAAAAGAGAGATTTTCCGTCGGAGATTTCCCAATCCATTATGGCATCAAGTGAGGTATGGAGTCAAACCCTCTGAACTCATAAAACGAGAATTTCGGAGCTGAGATTGAAGACCTCGACAAAGTGAGAGAAAGACTGGATGATGGGGCCGCGGGGGCGCCGGGCCGCAGCTGTCTGTGACGCATGGATACCGATGGATACAAATGGATACCGATGGATAGTTACCGTACCCTAAAATTACGAACAGTAACCTCCTGTCATGTCCCGTAATTAAAAAAAAAGGGTAGGCTGCCCGCAGCTGGCACGTGATCTTTGCGTCCATGGTCTGTACAGATCACTATTGAAGCTTGCGCTTATCTCTGTCCATTGGAGTCCCTTCGTATTTTGTCTATCCGTGGTAGGCATTGTCGCCCAGATCGATGCGCGTCACAATCACTCGGCTCGGCGGGGTGCCGAGCAGATGGTTTATATACAAAAATGGTTTGCCAATCAGGAGTCACCGCCAAATCATGCCATAGGTCTATCAACCAGTATTGATCACAGAAGGAAAAGAGGTCAAGGAGGGGGTTAGAAATAGTGGAATGAATGTAAGGTAGAGTAGGGAAAGAAGGCCAAGGTAGTAGTAAGAAATCGGAAATGAGTGTAAATGATCGAGCCGCTTAGGGCTCGGGATGATGGTTTGCGTCCGCGCCCCGCGAATCCCAATACTCGGACGGTCGTGTCTCGCGCTCCACGGTGACTGTGACATCCTGTCGGATGCGGAGGGCTCGTTCGGATCCATCGTCACTAGGCTCGCGATCGTCCACCGCTTCGGTGCTGACATCCGACACAGCCTTGCTGGGAGCCACAACAGTGCTTTGGTTATAGGTGCGCAGGCTGAAGTCGCCAGACCGCAACTGACTGTGAGGCCCGTAGTGCTGATACGCAGACCCTTTTGGCGCGTATGGTCCCGTTCGATAGCGGTCTGTGCCCCGGTGTGACCCTCCAGTCCAGCTCTTGAGGGCAGGAAACACATCGCGGAGAAGAGACCACACCAATGGCAGATTCGTCACCAAGATGGCAACAGTTGCTTCGCGGAAATACCAGTTCATGTAGACGTAGGAAATGAGCGACGGTACCAAACAGTAGAGTTTGTTTAGGAGGGCAGCGACAATGACGAAGATGCCCATGCCGAACAAAAGCATGAGGATCAGCTTCTGCTTCAGAGGCACGCGTACTTGAACCAAGAGAGGGATCCCAATGAGAAGCATCAAGACATCGGCCGAGATGGAAATGACGCCTTGGACAATCTCGTAATACTGATAGGTCGAGCATTGCTCTGCGGAGGAGTCAGCACGCAAGGGACAGTAGATCTTTGGAGACGACTAACTTACCATACGGCGTAGGCACAGCCCAGTAATTCTGGATTGGCCGACAGATCAGGAACAAGGACAGCTCGGTGGCCACGAATCCAAGAGCCACGTAGATGGCGAGGTAGTTAACCCATTTCCTCTGACGAAGTCCCTCGCTGTAACGTCAAGGTCAGTCTCCAGGACAGTCATAAATCTGTGGTGAACATACGTGATGCGAGCATATATTACCAGCATGCAGGCCTTCATTGCCCAGATAGCGAGAAGGAAGCAGTGCTCGGACACAAAGACCCATTTACTCCCTCGAATGCGATCGGCTTTGATGCTAGGGGTTAATGCCTTGATATCATCCTCGCTCATCAAGTTCGAACCCCCGCCTGAAGCGACCTGATTGAGAGCAACACACAGGAGAGTGTACCAGACAACAGCGAACATCATCAGGTAATCATCCGACTGGAGATTTCTGACCCCTAACCGACGGATTCGTGCAACGCTAGACACCACCAACAAGTCGTGGTTAGCGCCGCATTGACATCTATGATGACCATATGTCTCTATTATGGGACATGTTAAAGATGACTTACAATCTCAGGACGGCACCCAGCACCCCTACACCATAGAGCGTCCACGTCTCTCGCGCAAAGTCGCGTGCGAAAGCGGGGCTTAGACTGGCCATCGAGCTTGAGTGCAACCTGGAAGCCACGAGGTAACCGGTCAATCGAGATCCTTCCCTGCAAGGGACCGACAGGGGACAGGGCTCGGGGTAATATAAGTGAGCTGTACTCACATCTTTACTAAGATAAGGTTGGGTACCGGCACGCCGGCCAGGGGAGAAAAGTGTCCAGACTCGGTCAAGCAATCAAAAACCGGCGAACCAGGGTGTAAGATCCTGGCTAGCTCGATGACTGCGTGCGTGGAGAGATCATGGAATGAGAAGATAGCACTCGAGCGGAGGAGGTGGGCGAACGACAGGCATGATCTTCAGGCTAAGCCGGATCCATCAGTTGGATGGTGGTCGGTGATTGAATCACCAGCGAAGCCCATGCAGGATGAGCCAAGCATGCTTTCCAGGCACCGGCACTGTCCCCACGGTTTGAGTTCTTGGTCTACCACCATCGTAATCATCGGAGCCACGAAATATCCGTGATCCAGAGCAGACTAGGTGCTAAGCCAAATCGAAACATGTATGGGGAGAACCCGGAAGAGGGGACTTTGGGCGGAAAAGATCATCCATCACTCCACCAAGTGAGCCCACGTCCCACAAGACTGCACCTTCGCACACGTATGTGTACAAATTGTTCTCAGTCAATGGATGAACCGCACTTTCTTTGACTTTGCGGATGTGGGGCCTTTAATCCCGCCTAGTTGCAACTTAATTTGTATTCGATTCTCCACTTCGTTAGCAATCTTTTGAAATCATTTCATGCACCACCAGCTGAGTCGGTCGAAGCCAAACTCTTTTCGTTGGAGCCAATGTACCCTGTTTTGGGACGTATACTTTGTATGCGAAAGACCTGGCGCACACCCGTTCTGAACCCAATCAAACAAATATCGGTTGGTGAAAAACCTAGCATGTCACACGTTGCTGTCTCGGGTACTCGTCCTGGTAGGGGCTTTGCACCCAAGTGGCGTAATGGTCCATTCCAAGTCGATCCTCCGCTCAAGCGAAGCGTCCCTAATATGGTCGAGTTTCTGGGCAGTGGAGGGTTCCGACCTCCGACACATTCAAGGCGAAGACCAGTTGATTAGTTTCAGACACGGCAGTTTTGACGCGACATCGGGGGTAAGACGAATTGTATCCCGAGACAATATAGAGGAATGGGGCGTGGCTTCTACCGTTCAGAACCACGAACGGCACTAAATTACACCCCTGCTGCAAATGCGCAAATACTCATGTGCTTATGCGGTAAGCGACAGCACACTTGGATGTGGAGCACCTCGTTCTGTTTCCCTAAGGTATAACCTTGCATGACTAGTTCATACTTGTGTTACCAGGATCTCTCGATTGAGCTGCAACCAGTGCGATCCGTTCATCCGCTGCTAGGACACCCCACCGGATCGGATCACGACGCCTCACATCTGGTGTGGGCAGCTGGAGAAGGGTGGATTGCGACCATAGGCGTAGCTAAGATGCACTTTGCAGATCAGCAAGCGAGTTCAGTGCTTTCATCGTGTGCGCTGAATCAAGAAAGAAAAATCTGCTCGCCTATTGAGGGCGACTAGCAGGGGTGTGTGACGGTCCGGAAATAGTTCTACACCTGCACGTTTAGCTTCGCGAATCCGCCGCTAAGCTCGTGCCATCTCGATCTTGACTCCTGTTGGTGGGCTGGAAAATGAACGCTCATTGATTTTGTTTCACCAACCTACGGGCTGGAAGCATCATGGTCCGTGTTCCGTCTGGAAGAGGAGGATTGTTCGGTGTTCAGTGTCCCTTTGCTGCGACGTACGCAGTACCATGGTTGTCACGCCTCGGCCGCGTAGCGCCGAGCTCGTATCAAGAGCTTATCGAGTGTATAGCTGCGCAAGACACGAGAATGAGGAACGATCGATCGAGAAATCAAACAGAATGTTCGAATGAAGCACGCGACACCTATGACGCTAATGGAGCCAGTAAGTCCACGGAGGGCGAGGGTTTGCCGCTAAACTCTGCCTGGCAGGGAATGGAAATGGGGGATTTGGAAGAGAAACACTAGTCGAATCCAACCTTTGGGATTCCGGAGTCGAGACGTAGGTGGAGTAGGAAGCCGGTAGTGGCACTACTGGAAGAATCAGCATGCCAATGACCATTCTCTCCCTGTTGCGCTGCGAGGCTAGCTCGTTACGAACGTCTAGTCCATGTAAAAAGCTCGATGTGTCCGGGATTCGTGGGGAGGGGGGGCAAAACGAGAATGATGATTGAGTGTCAAAGTCTGCCACTAGGTGATTCCTAGACATCAGTCCGTCGATGATAGCCTGACTGGACCTGGCAGTACTTCGGAGTAGTAGTCAGTGACTATCAATGAATGAATAAGAGGGATTGATAATGGCGGGAAATCAATCGGCCGCGGCTCTTAGCGCTGGACGGGACGGTGGCTGCCCCCGTGTTAAGGCATCCATCACATTACCGCTTACGGAGTACACAATATGCTGCAGCTCGTGTGGTTATGTTTAGTGCAGAAGACTAGTCGATGTTATCTGAAGGCTAAGGCTTTTAGAGTACGATAAGCATGAACAAGCAAGATATACGGTACATAAGTATACATAAGTGAAAGCATGTTTCCCTGCGTTGAGATTCTTTCTTCTTCTACTCTTTGCACAGAGCGCGCAACACGGGCCACATACAACCCACACACACACACACACACACACACACTCTCTCTCTCTCTCTATCAGCTCTTTCTACGTCAGTACTAGACACCTAGTCACAGCTGGTCATGCTGGACTCGATTTTATCATTGAATACTCAGTAGTAGGTTCCTCAAGCATCTTGATGCTCACTACTAGCTTCCCCAGTCTACCCCGGATTGCAAATGGATTCTGATGAGCCAACAGAAACTGCCTGTGGAGCAAAGACAAGCATGAGTCTATCTTGTTGCCCCCAGCTTCGCATACCTAAAATCAACCTCGCAGAAGTGAAGCACGCAAAGAGTGTATCTGCTATAGCTCCCCCTTTGGGACTAGTGGCTTCTCATGGCTTCTCCGCCTCTCCGCCAATCGGAGTCTTACATCAGCGAGCGCATCCCATGATTGGGCGATAACGGCCTTTTCCCCGGGCTGAATGGGACCCACTCGCGATTCCAATTGATGGACGGAGTATACGAAGAGAGGGAGAGGAGCCCAGGTACATCACAACGACCTCTCTCCCTCTCCCTCTCCCACTCCCTCTCCCTCTCTCTCTCTCTCTCTCCCTCTCGCATCTATAAACTCCTCTTCTCATCCACCGTCCTCTTTCGTTCTTCTCTTATGTGTCATCTTGACCCTTGCATAGTACCCGAGAATTAGGCGATGATCGTTTCGGATTTGTGAAGTTTCCTACGCCTCGACCATCCATCAGTTGTCAGTCACACAGAACTTGAAGCCATCGATCAGCATCATCGAGAACACTGTTTCAACAACGGCCGTGTCACTAAACAGACGCCTTGGACAACTCAAGACTGCTGCAAAGCCCCCTCAAATCAGTCGATATCCTCATCATCGGGCCCTACCACGATATCCACCCATACCACTCCCAGCATGACGACAGAGAAGATAGCAGAGAAGCTAGATCCTCTCGAGGCTAAAGAGGATGCACCGTCCGTGGAAGTAGTCAACGCTTCTGGCCACCGCCAGGAAGTCGAACGAAACTTTAGTCTATTGAGCATCTGTGCCGTTGCCGTCACGACCGGAAACACATGGATTGCCCAGGGTGGCAGTGTGGTACGCCATGGACATTCATTCCTCAGGCCTTGAATGTAGAGCTAACGGCATCCAGACCACGGCATTGAGCAATGGAGGTCCATCGGGAGTTATATACGAATTGTACGACCCCTCATCTACAGACCGCAGCTCAACCGTGCTAACATGACCCAGCATCGCTGTCTCAATATGTTACTGGCTAGTTGCAGCCTCGATCGCAGAACTGGCATCTGGCATGCCATCTGCTAGTGGAGGTACGCAATCTTTCATCTGACGGGGCGAGTCCTCGCTAACGCGCACTCCAGTCTACCACTGGGCTACCATCACCGCAGGCAGATACGGACGGGTGTGCGGGTTCTTTGCGGGGTTCTGGAACTCGCTAGCATGGATCCTGGGGGCAGCCTCCATGTCAGCCATCCTGGGACAGCAAACGGTGTCAATGTATGCCCTGATGCATCCTGGCTTCGTGCCCCAGTCCTGGCACATCTTTGTGAGCTTCGTCATCTGCACGTGGATGTGCTGCTGCATCGTGCTCTTCATGAACCGATGGCTCCCTCATATCGGTAACCTCGGGCTTTTCTTCATTCTGGCGGGTGTCTTCATCACCATTGTTGTCTGTGCCGTAATGCCACACGTCAACGGCACCGGCTACGCAGCCAGCAAGGAAGTCTGGAGCTCCTGGCAGAACGACACAGGCTACACCAGCCAGGGCTTCGTCTTCGTAGCCGGCATGCTCAACGGCGCATACAGCGTCGGGACCCCGGACTGTTCATCGCACCTTGCCGAGGAGATTCCCCAGTAAGCCCACCCACCCACCCTATTCTCACCTCTCTCAATCCCACAACGCCCGATCTAATTTTCATCCCCTCCCCCCTCAGACCAAGCCGCAATATTCCGAAAGCTGTCCTCGCGCAAATGGCCGTCGGCTTCACCACGGGCATCGTCTACATGATCGCGCTCTTCTACAGCATCACAGACCTCTCCGCCGTCCTCGACAGCGTCTACGGGTTCCCGCTCGCAGAGATCTACTATCAAGCCACGGGCACCCGCGGAGGGGCCCTCGGCCTCCTGATCGTCGCCTTCCTGCCCACCGTCATCACCTGCGCGGGCTGCTACATCACCGCGGGCCGCACGCTGTGGACCATCTCGCGCGACCAAGCCACCCCCTTCCACGACTGGCTCGGCCACATTCACCCGCGCATGCACAACCCGTTCAACGCGACCCTCGTCTGCGGGGCCTTGGTCACCGTCCTCGCCTGCATCTACGTCGGCTCGACCACCGCCTTCAACGCCTTCGTCGGCTGCTTCGTCCAGCTCTCCAGCCTCTCGTACTTCGCCGCCATCTTCCCGCACGTCGTCCTCACGCGCCGCGCCTCCTTCGCGCGCGGCCACTTCTGGATGCCCGGCGTGCTGGGGTACCTCGTCAACGCCCTGAGCTGCGTCTACATCCTGGCGTTCGTCGTCATCTTCTGCTTCCCCTACACCTTGCCCACCGACGCCCAGTCGATGAATTACGCCAGCCTGATGACTGGCGGGCTGACTGTCTTCGTGACCGCGTGGTGGCTCTACAAACGGAAGGAGTACACGGGGCCCAAGGAGGTGCCGGTGTCTGATAAGGTCGTTGTGGAAGGCGTCGCGGGAGATGCATAAATGAGAAAACCTCGTTGATGAATTGGAAAATCCTTTTCTGGGAACAAAAAAAAAGATTAAAGATAAACAGACCACGGCATGCGTACATAGCATGGTTCTATGCGTCCCGCTTCTCTGAAAAGAGAGTTCATGTGTATAAAGATCTTGTGTCTTTCGTCTACATTGAAAGTTGGTCTTGCTTGGGATTTTCTTCTATCGTATTGGAACGAGAAATTTTCTGGAGTTGTTAAAGGCTTTTAATAGTGTTCCTGGTCTGGTCATGTTGATGTAACTGATTTATGCATATAGTACATACATACATACATACACACAACTCTTACATACGCTTGATGATTTCCAAGTTGGGAGAGAGTTCCTGGAAAATTCTGCACTAAATAGGCGTTTGTGCTGTTTTGAGGAAACTCTTTGTAGCAACAACACCCGCAAGAAGAGATGAAATCAGACTGTTTGGACGCGTGTGCGCTGCCAAACACGACCCTGCAGGTAGTTGAAACGGATCCGGCTTCGCTTTTGATCGTCTACTGATGTTGCTGCATACTCCCCCATAATTGGTGTGTGACGTGAAATCTTTCATGGATGAGTAGAAGCAGGCGAGCGGCCAAATTACTTCGCTGCACCAAGGCTGGGAACATTCTACTTAATGCCTAATATGATAAGTTTACTGCGAAAGGAGAGAGAAAGGTTGAAAAGATCAATAAGATGTCCTGTGAATTAGCTCCACAACTAGCTAGTTGAGAACCACCTATTAAACCCTGATTTGGACAAACCATGCCACTACTTATATACTTTTGAATATGCTCACAAAACAAGCCGGCCTGTCCAAGATAATTGGAAACAATTGTCCCGAAACAGAAGAACGAAGAAAAGAAAACCCAAATCATGCCTCGTGAATCATGCAAAGGAAATGCGGGATTCTCAATCAATATTAACAATCTTCATCACTTTCCTTTTCCGAATCGTCTGCAAACCTCCTTACTCGTACAAATCCATGTCACCACTGCCATCTTCCATCTCAGCCAAAGCTTCCTCGTCGCTGTCGAACATGTCCTGATCTCCGTCGCCATCAGTCTCATGGTTCGGAAGGACATCGATGCGACCATCGCGCATGACCACGCGAGCTTCTTCGCCGTTGCGGATGCTGCCACGCAGGATGAGGACGGCGAGACGGTTGAGAATTTCACGCTCGATGATGCGGCCCAAGGGACGAGCACCATAGGCGGGCGAGTAGCCGGAGTCACCAAGGTAGTCTTTGACTTCATCCGAGCAGTTGATGATGACGTTGCGCCCGTTGTCGTCGAGACGCTTCTGGACCTCGGAGAGACGGAGGTCGACGATCTTGCGGATCTCGCGCCTGGTGAGACGGTTGAAGATGACAATGCTAGAGATACGGTTGAGGAACTCAGGCAAGAAGTAGTCGCGAAGGGCGCCCATAACGAGCTCGCGCGTCGCGGGTTCGATGCGGCCGTCCTTGGCGGCAGGGCGAGCGAGGAACTCGGCTCCCAGGTTGGACGTCATCACAACAATGCAGTTCTTCGCGTCGACAATTCTGCCCTGTCCGTCGGTGATGCGGCCGTCATCCATGAGCTGGAGAAGGACAGTCAAAACTTCCTTGGCAGCCTTTTCGACTTCATCGAACAGAAGAATGGAGAAGGGGCGCCGGCGAAGGCTTTCGGTAAGCTGACCACCGGCATCGTGGCCGACATAGCCGGGAGGTGCGCCGATCATACGGCTCAGAGAGTGGCGTTCCTGGTACTCAGACATATCGAACCGGATCATGGACTTGGGATCGTCGAACAGAAATTCCGCCAAGGCCTTGGTAAGGAGCGTCTTACCCGTACCCGAGGGACCGCAGAAGAGGAAGCTGGGCGGCGAGTTAGGGTTGCTCAGACCGGATCGTTGCAGACGGATCGCATTGGAAACAGAAGTGACAGCCTCCTTTTGACCAACGACAATCTTGCTAAGGTACCTCTCCATGTTCAACAACTTGTCCTTTTCGGTGGTCTTAAGACGAGTCACAGGGATACCGGTCCAGCGGGCCACGATTTCGTTGATCTGGTCGGGGCCGACGGCGTCTGCCAGCAGAGCCTCACCCGCATCGCCCTGGCGAGAGCGTCGCTCTTCGTCCGCCTTAGCGCGGTCGATTTCCAATCGTTCAATAAGTTGCTTGGTTTCAGGAATAGCATAGTACTCCAAATCAGCGGCAGTTTGGGTGTCACCGGAGCGCTCGGCTTCGTCACGCTTGACCTTGAGGGAGTCGAGCTTCATCTTGGCTTCTTGGATGGCTTTGCTGCGCTGCTTCTCGCTTTCGTACTTCTCCCGCAGGGGGCGGAGCTCTTCTGCGACATTGGCAGCCTCCTGCTTAGCAACTTCCAAGCGGGCCTTGGAGGCATCGTCTTTCTCGCGCTCGAGAGCATGGATTTCGATCTGCAGCTGACGAAGTCTTCTTTCGAGGTTGTCAAGAGCTTCAGGTTCGGATTCACGGGTGACCCGGACAGCGGCAGCGGCCTCATCAATCAAATCCACAGCTGAGTCGGGAAGGCGACGCGCCGTGAGGTAACGAGCAGCCAATTCAGCTGCAGAAACAATGGCACCGTCGAGGATGTTGACGCCGTGGTGCACTTCGTACTTCTCCTTCAAGCCACGCAGAATCGAGATGGTTTCATTGACGGTAGGTTCCTTGACCAGGACCTGCTGGAACCGACGCTCGAAGGCCTGGTCCTTCTCGATGTACTTCCTATATTCGCCCAAAGTGGTGGCACCGATACAGTGCAGCTGACCACGAGCCAGCATGGGCTTGAGCAAGTTGGCAGCATCCATGCCGCCTTCGCCGCTGGAGCCTGCGCCCATCAGGAGGTGGATCTCATCGACGAACAAGACGATAGTGTCCTTCGATTCTTCAATCTCCTTCAATACGCCCTTCATGCGCTCCTCAAATTCACCACGGTACTTGCTGCCGGCCACGAGAGAGCCAACATCCAAAGAGAGCAGCCGGCACTGGGCCAAGTTGGCAGGGACATCGGCGTTGACGATCCGACGCGCCAGTCCTTCAACAATGGTAGTCTTACCCACACCAGGTTCACCAATGAGCACCGGGTTGTTCTTCGTGCGCCGACTGAGGATGCGGATAACACGTCGGATCTCTTCCTCTCGACCAATGACGGGGTCGATCTTTCCTTCTCGAGCCAGCGAGGTCATATCGATGGTGAATTTCTTCAGGTTCTCATTTTCGCTCTCTGCGTCAGCGGTCTTGGAGTCGACCCGCTTGGTACCGCGGATCTGTTGTACGGCACTGTCGATCAATTTGACGTTGGGGACGTTGGCGTCTGCCAGCGCACGCTGAACTTGGGAGTCTTGAGCGCACGCGGTGATAAGATGATCAATGGCAACATAGCTGTCCTTCTGAGTCTTGGACAGCTCGCTGGCAGACCGGAGGACCTTGGCGAGTGCGGGCGAAACGCTGACGGTCTCCGGAGGTGGGTCTTGACTGGGCAGACGCACCAGCAGCTTCATTAGAGAGCGCTCGAGCAGCTGAGGATCGCCATGTGCGCGTTCGATGACCTGACGGAAGAGAGGAGCGGAGGCAGTGTCGTGGGATGGATGGGCGGTAGCTTGTTGGTCCTTGGACTCGTCTGGAGAGGGATTCAGGAGAGAGACTGCGAGGTGAAGAGGAAGAATCTGCGAGTGGGAGTATTGTTCAGCCAGACTGCTGGAGTCCAGTAGAGCCTTGTTGGCCTTGTCTGTAAACTGAGCACCGTTCATGTTGTGAAAGTGGGGTTGTGATGTGCGGATAATTAGGTATCAGGTAGTAAGGTGTGAAATTTAAAAAAGGTAGGAGAGATGATGTAGTAACGAGGAGGAGTGTCTCGTTCAGATAATTATTAGGATGTTCAAGTATTAGTGTTCTGTTGTGTTTTGATCTGTAGAATGAAGTGAATGAGTCGATGGTGGATTGGCATGACAGGTGAAGTTATAGAAGCTGGTCAGGCATTGCCGGCTTCTTGCCATGACGACAACAGGGTCGGTTCCACCGCCTTCCAGAAACACCGCGGGGCTGCTCGGAATTGCTGGATTGGCCTCGACGTCACGTGCAGCTGCTGGAAGGTCCTGGATGCTCGGCCTGGTCCATCAGGCCATCAGGCCATGATGATCAGGTAATCAGGACCCTGTGATGCCAAAGTTGAAGTTGGCCAACGGAGTCATTTTCCTTCTCCGGATACTTTCCGTTGTCTCCATCGCCTGTCTATTACAAAATGACAGGAACTGACTATTCTCGACTTGTCTTCTGCTTTCCTCCTCTTCCCTCTAGTTATCCCCACCGACATCATGAGCCGTCTGTCGCACGAAACAGTAATGCCCCTCCCCACGTTGGAGAGGCATGGTTGTGATTGGCATGCTGCTGGTTGGTCTGGCCCGCGATTAGACTACATTAGAGTTACTAAGTCACGCCGACACATCATGAATGATTGAATGCTTCCGAGGTTAGTCCGGGATTACGATGCACAATGCGCAAGACAATTAGCATCTACGCGAAGGCAGCTGGCAGCAGCAGCACCGACAACAGCAACATTCTCTGCAATTTCTGTGCGCAGAAATATCCATCTCTGAAATTTTGGTGGAGTTTCATGACCAACTTCCTGGACAGAAGTTGATGAGAAGAAAATAGAAGAAAATTAAAGACATCACAGACCATTCTTGCGGGGCATTGACTTCCCTCCCATCATGTCCAACTTTTCCTTGTCTGCTCTTTTCCTGAGACTGTGCTTCCCCCCGCTTCTGCTATGGAGAAAGCAGCCATGGAAACGACCGTTTCCAGACCTAGCCCGTGACGTCAAAGAGTGGACATCACTGGACCTTACTGGATATCCCCTCCTCGCGTCCATTGAACCGCCACAGCAATTGGCCGCTGAGGAAATTTCCTTCTGGCTGAGATGCCTAACAGGGAATGACCAACCGTGCGTCAGGAACGGGGAACCTCCGCGATCGGGCGGGCTGGGCAGGCTCCATGACGGCGCTTTTGTGGCTCAACCCAAAGTCCCCCCCCCCAGGCTTGATCAAATCGAATCCAGGGCAGATAAGCCCGGTAAGTTCTGTTTGGGATAAGTTATCGATTTACCGGGATGTCAACAGTTGGGTCGAACATTCTTTGAGTGCGGGATTATTCGATGATTATTGACTTTATGCCTTGCATTCACTCATTATCGCTATCACCACGCATTGCTTCCCTCGGCCTGTGCGGGATTAACCGAACAGCACTGCCAGGCATATTCGAACCGCTAAAAATGCGTGGAGGTATCCGCGAAGCACGCCAAGGGGGGACTCGGATGAAGAACGAGACACACTACTTGTTCGACTACATGACTAAAAGACCCGGTCCTTATAAAGATGGATCATGGTGTATATTCAAGTCACACGAATTAAAATAGCAGCACGAGAAAGCCAATAGTGGATTAGAATAGGCTCGTAGTACGAGTCCGCCGCAGCCCTGCTCCATCGGGGTACGATCCACGGGTCAATCTGCCCGGTTTCACTCGACTTCCTCTCAGAAAAGAGGAAAAAGAATAACTAAATACTTACTTCTCGTAAGCCTCGCAGTGTCTGTTGATCTCTGCTTCGCTGATTGGAGTCGGATAATAAAATTGTGGACTGACAGTATATAAATCATGCCAGCTCGCAATCGGGGTTTCCCCTCCCTTCCTTACTTTCAAATCAATCAACCTGCAGACTCAAGAAATTTCATCTTTTCCCAACTGCCGCCTGCAACATTGCTTGAAACAAGTTCGTCCAAGCATATTAGTATTTACTGAAGTACTTACTGAATATCCCACCACCCCACTTCGAGCATCCAGTAAATCGGACAAGAAGCGGGTGTTACATCCATTATCTTTCCAAGTACCTACACGCCAGTGGTGAAATTCCCTGGACGATAGGTTTAGTTAGTCACTTTGACGTGGAGAAAATCCTGAAATATCGATTTTCACCGCGATCGAACCACTTCCACTTCAGAAAGTACCATTCCAATCCGACTATCGAGCGGAAGAATATTCTGTCACGATGTCGCAGAAGCCCATCTTTGTGGCTACTCACCCCCGGGCGTGTTCCACGGCCTTTGAGCGAGTCAGTTTTCCCCATCATTTCTGGCTGGTCAACATTTCGCTGACTCCCTTCTGATTCAGGTCTTCATGACTCAACGGGATACCATTCAGTGTGTTCACGAGCCATTTGGCGATGCTTTCTATTATGGACCGGAGCGGTTATCGACCAGATTCGCCGACGACGAACAGGCCCGTCTGGACAGCGGATTCAGCCAGTCGACGTTCAAGACCGTCCTGGATCGCATCGAGCGCGAATCATCTGAGGTCCGACCCTTTTTCTTGCCCTTCTGAGTTCTGTCCCATGCATGCCCTCTGTCCCTTTTTGTTCTTCGGCTGTCGTAGCTTGAGATTGTCGAGGATCCGTTCGAAAGCGAGCGCGATCTAGTTGTTCGAGACCCGGAGCAAGACCATTGCTTTGGCCCTGACGATGAATCTACCACCATGATTCTGGTTGGTTTGTGGCATCGCTTTTCCCTACCCACATTTCCGGGAGATAACCCAGGAACCCAACAGGTTGGATCCTAGGGCCACCCTCTGAATGTGCTGCCCAAGCAACCTCATCCCCAGACCTACCACCCCTGCACAAGCAATCATCCACAACCCGCATCATGCCCAGCTAGATACTTATCCCAAGGAACAGGGCAAACGCGTCTTCATCAAGGACATTATCCACTATCTGCTGCCCCCGCACGGTCAGCCCGCCAGCATTGCGCCGTCGCTGCACAGAATCAAGCGCGGCGTAGGCACAGACCAGCAGGGGCAGCAGCAGCAGAAAGATATCCCGGAGACGCCTTACCCGTACTCGACGGAGGCAGAACCGGGCAACCCGACCGTGATGCCACGGGCGCTTCTGTCGCAGTTCCACTTTGCGTTTTTGATCCGCGACCCGCATTATAGTGTGCCCTCGTACTACCGCTGCACAATCCCGCCGCTGGACGCGGTGACGGGGTTCCAGAACTACGACCCCTCGGAGGCCGGGTACGACGAGTTGCGGCGGACGTTCGACTACCTGCGCGCGACCCATCTGGTCGGGCCGCGGGTGGCCACGTACGAGGCCGAGACCCGCGATGACTCGTCGTCGTCGGTGGCCTCGTCGCGCCCGTCCTCTTCGGCCTCATCCGCCAGCATGAGCGGGCCGACCGACGAGGAGACCCAGGAGGTCGAGATATGTGTCGTCGACGCCGACGACATGCTCGACAACCCGGCCCCGATGATCGAGGCCTTCTGCCGCAGCGTGGGGCTCAAGTATGATCCGTCGATGTTGTGCTGGGACACCGAGGCGGACCACGCGTACGCGCGGGCCGCGTTCGAGAAGTGGCGGGGGTTCCATAACGATGCGATCGAGTCGACGGGCTTGGTCGGTAGGAAGCATGTCAGTATAAGCCCTTCTCCCTCTCCCAAGGAAAAGATGCATCAGACAGAAAGTCGAGCGACAAATCTGTTATCACCTACCTACCTACCTACCTACCACACTTCACCTACTTTCTCTTTCAACCTCAGCCTCACCCTCTCACAACACATCGTACGAGGGTCACAACTAACAACCCTGACAGCCCAAAGCCCGTAAATCGGAAGCAGAATTCGACGCCGAATGGCTCGAGAAGTACGGCCCGGAAGGCGCCGCTCTCATCCGCAAGACCGTCGACGACAACATGGAGGATTACCTCTATCTGAAGAGATTCGCCATGAAGGTTTAACCAGCGGCATCATGAGGCAAAAGTGGTGTTGTATCTATGAAAGAAAGAACGAGAAAGAGAGAAAGAAGATTGAAGTAAACAGCGAGAAACCAAGCATTGTGCGAGGAAGACTCCACAGAAACAGAAACAAAACAGGACCGAACGGGGGAAGGGGAAAGCAGGGTTGATATGATTTTTACTCTAACCTAACTACTCCGTTTCTCCCTCCTTCGCCCTTGTTTACGTGTGTATGTGCGCGCCTTGATTGACGAAGATTGACGATATCCTTAGCTTTGATGACGCGATTTGATGTGCGGTGTATGCCATACATACCACGGCTTGCACCATTCCTGCCGAAGGCGGTGGTGGTGTGTTTGTGTTTGCATGTTTGCATATCGAGGAATGAATGATCTGTGCTTAGTGTTTGTGTTTGTGGTTTGATTTGTGCTATTCTTGATGCTTCAATTATGCACTACGAGCTACTTTGGGCACGGGTAGGGAAATTGGATAACCAGTATGAACGAACTAAAGTTATGGTCTTTACTTGCGAAATCTTTTTTTTGTTCTTTTGGTTTCAGCTGTTGCCTAAGTTGATCACAGAAGATGTGGAACAGGGAAATTGACTCTACTAAATTCTTTTTCTGGTATTGTACCGCCAATAACAGTCTTAAATGCAGTGTGCAGTCGGTTGTTGAGTCGGCCGCAAATACTCGCATTCATCCCATGCTCCTCCGTACTCCGTACCGTAACCCTCTACTAATCATCACCGCGAACTCAAGCAGAAATAAATACCTTCCAGACCGAAAAAAAAAAAAGCAATCATCTGTATCATAATTCAAACAAATCCCCCAATTCTCCGTGATTACCGAACCATCCATGCAGGAATACCACCCACGCAGAGGTATACTCCCCAGGCTCCTAGGTCTAGTCCGACATCAACCATCAACCCTGAGCGTCGGCAACAACCAGTAGCTAGCAGGTAATAGATCTGCTGAGCCCTTCCTCTCTCGTTCCCTCACGAAAGAAAACACCCATAGTACATACATATTCATAACAAAACCCCGTCTAAACCGCACTATAGCCGCCCCGCGACCCGGACCCTTGCAGGGTATTGACCACGCGACGCACCCAATCCTGAAAGAGATAAGGAACATCGCGCAGCGTGTCCCCGTGGGGAAGGAGATCCCACCCGCGGGCTCCGTAGCGATTATAATTGAGCCAAGATCCAAAGATCAAGTAGGCGGCGATGCAAAGGAAGAGACTGCGTCAACAATATTTGAGTTAGCGTTCGCTTTTCCTTTCTTTGACCCCAGTCACCCGGAAGATGCGAAACATACAGAATAATCAACCAAGTGAAAAACCCCCAATGACTGGACGAATCCCCCCGGTTCCCTTCCAGGTACTTGTCGCACGCGTAGCGGGTCGTCCAATCCAGACGCAGCACGTAGGCGTCATCGTCCACGGGCCCGAAGCTCTTGAAGCGAAGACTACTGCCGCTGTTGCCACTACCACTCCCGGAATCGTCTTGCGGGGGGTTGGGCGTGTTGTCGTTGTCGCCGCTCTCGTCACGGGCCCGCATCTGCGCCTCGTCCGCGGTGCGGAGACCTTCTAGGCCTGACCGGTCGGGGTCGCATTGGAACTCGATCACGGCCTTGGCGGTGTGTTTCTTGCCGGCGGAGTCTTCGTAGGAGCCGCCGCTCATCTTGAGGAGCAGGCCCTCGCGCTCGGAGTCGGATTGCTTCAGGCGGGAGATCTCGGCGTCGGGGCTGCCGTGGCCCATGGGGTCGAGGCCGGCGATGGGGAAGCCCTGGTCGGTCTCGACGGTGCTGTTGGTGTGGGTTCTGTATTCGAAGCCGCAGACTGTATTTGCACGTGTGTTAGATGTGTTTATTATGGTAGGGGAAATGCGATGCGACAACACAATGCGGTGTCGCGATGTTCTTGGATGAAAGGACGTACTTTTCTTGGAGGTGCCGCAATTTAAGCGCCCTCGGTGGGCGGCCTTGCCCAGGATATTACAGATGTTGACTACATACGTCGTGTTGACTGTGACCGACTCCTCGGGGTTTTCGACGACGTTGTAGAGGGTGTGTACGCCGCCGAGGGCGCTGAGATCGTACTTGACTTTATCGACAACGATATCCTTGCAGTTGAAGTTGCCTACAGCAGACACAAATGTTGGAAGGACGAGAGCAGAGGAGAGGAGGGTAGAGGAGAGGCTGGATGGTATTCGCATGGTGGTGATTGCTTCTGGGGTGCTGACAGGGCCGTGTTTGGAGAGGTGGGTCTGCTTTGGTCACCGGAGCTCAGCTCGACAGTTTCGCGAAGAGGTACAGAAAGAGTTGCAAGTGACAGCACTGATGCCACTGAGATATGAGCTGTAGTGGGGAGGACTCAAGCGAGGGACGGTGTAGGATGGGGGAAAGCAGAATTGGGAGGATAGTAGACACACGAGAGAGACAGGCTGGGGATGGAGGGATCAGTTTGTCGGCGATGATGCGGTGGCCGGAGCTCTTCGTTTCTCCGAGGCGAGGGCGGGCCGAAAACAAAGTCACCAAGTCAGCCAGCCTGCAGAACACTTCAGTCCTCGCAATGAGGCAGAATGAGGAAGAGTGAGCATGCAGAGGTGCAAAGGTGATGAACAACGACGCAGGAGAGACGCGAGAAAGCGTTTCTCGTGCTTGGGGACGTTGAGTTTGTTGCAGTGCGTCGGACGAGCAGCTGACGGCGATGATGTCACCCGACCTGGTGCTGCCTGGCGAAGTGTGAGGAGAATTCAAAAGGCTGGAATAACATAAAGTCGAGATACCAGGGGCAGAATGGGGTTATTCATGTTAGAGGCAGTTTCAACAATAAGTATAAATTAGTAGTTGCCTCATACAGCTCAGGCGAAGTCTAGAAGCGTAGCGAATTTCATAACTATGAGAAGATCGAGCTGGAGCACTGACAGAACAAGCAAGAAAAAAAGAATGGAGAAGGCAGGAGATCTTCTGCATGATCCATAGCCTCACAATTACCGTAAGCATAAATAGCTTCAAGACAAGCTACATCCTCCTATACAACATACTGTTACTCATTGCTGTCTCGATCCTACCGCGCACGGACCACAACCACCCAAAGAAGAAACCAACCTCAGCATCAAATCCCCCGTCCCGATATCAATCAATCAATCAACAACAACAACAACCACCCCAGACCTATTCTCTGAACCTCCCCACCGAAAATCCCTCACAATGCTCCAAACGCGCATGGTACGTACACTTCCTCACACACCCACCCCTTCCACCGAACCCCACACTCCCACAAAAAGGGCACAAACTAACCCCGCAACAGCTCTCCAAAGAAGACGAAGTCCGCGGCGAAGACAACGAGGTCCGCCGCGAGGACCAAGAGAAGATCAACCGCTTCAGCCGCCTCCACCAACGGGAGACTATCCTGGAAGAGCAATTGAAGCTGAAGCAGGTATGTCGAAGTTGACTGTCTAGTGAAAAGTCTTATCACGTTCTTCATTGCGTCTTCATGTTCACGCTACCACTCCGCCCCAGTACCAATAGAGAAAAAAACTGACCCCCCGGAACAGAAAGACAAGGAAGACCTCGAAGAAATCTCCACAGAACTCGAACTAGCAGATGAAGATGAGCTTGTGCCGTGAGTACTAGCCTTGCCTTGCCTTGTTTTTGTTTTCTTTTTTTCTTTTTTTCTCCGGGGAGGGGGGGGGGGAAGTCTCCCTGCTTGAACCCTACGAGCACCGTAAGGAGCTTGCGAAAGTGGACGAATCCCCCCAGATGCATGCCCACAGTCCATTCCACAAAGAAGCCTGACTGACAACACGTAAGCTACAAAATTGGTGACTCCTTCTTCCATCTACCCCTCGAAGAAGCCCAGTCCCTCCTCGCCACCTCCACCGAGCAGATCGATGCTGAGGTGAGCAAGCTAGAGGAAAACCTGGGCGATCTGCGCGAGGAGCTGCAGCAGCTCAAGGTGGCTTTGTATGCACGCTTTGGTCGGAGTATTAACCTGGAAACTTAGTGTGGAAGAAGTCTCGTTGCAGTTGGGGGGAAATGGGGCTTCTTGTATTGTACCTACCTACCTTCCTACCTACCCTGTTGGTCTGATCGTTTGCTTCGCTTTGTTGATAATGAAATCTCTTACCCTGGTCAGCTGAGGGATTTATACTGTGGGGAGGATCAGGGTGATCTGGAAATGTAGAGTAATTTATCATTAATAGTCAGACTGTGGTGAAATTAGGTGGTATTTGATCTGGTAGAAGATTAAATGAGATGATCTAAAAAAATGGTCTCGTAACACAGGGAAGACAGCCCACGCATGATGGCTTCTATAAAGAATGAATGAATGAATCGCCTATGCCTGTATACTCTGTACAAAGGGGGGCTCTGTCCAACCAACAAGGGGGGATATCTACGCAAATACTATACCAGATGGCAATAGTAGTCAAACATGAAGGAAAAGAAGGGAAATGAAAAGCTGTTTCGTGATCCATAACTTCATCTCACATGCTTCAGTAAGCAGGGGGAACATGCATGATACAGAGTTCCTCCCAGAGAATGCTGACAGGGCGTTGGTACAGTACGATCCCGCTCTGCTCGGGATGTCTGCCTCAGGCACGGTTACTCAAGCAGTCTGGTGCGACCGACGCGAGCTCATAGAGATCGGGACATTTGCGGCACTACCCATCGCGGTGACAAGGACGGACGTTTCGACACTACCCTTAAATTATACTGGCGATTGTCATGCGCGAATGAGATGAGCTTGACTGAGGCGTGGTTGCATCTGAGCTGGTGGCTGCAGCGTCAGGGCCCAGGTAAGCCGACTCCGCAGGCTTCGAAGCATGTTGTTGTAACTCTTGCTGTTGCTGCTGCTGCTGCTGCCTCTCACTCATATACCGCACGGTTTGTTCGACCCAATCCCAACCTTCCCAATTCTCCGCGATCATTGTATCGGGGCGGCCATATGAGGCAGGACTGCTGATTTGGGGTGACATCGTTTCGAGTTGAGAGCCCGTTTCGCTTCCTTGCCAGACCCAGCTACTCTCAATCGTCCCTTGCATATCTCCGGACACATATGCAATCAGCTCCTCGTCGCGCTCGGGCATGATAGTCTCGCTGCGCTGGCAGAGGGTCTTCAAGAAGAATGCTAAGTATTGTCCGCAAGCCGCGTTCACCGCGCGTGAATCCCCAATCACAGAACTGGCTTGTACACAGACCAGTGCAGCGGCATATTCTTGACGAAACAGGAGCAACAGCACACAGCGCCAGAGATGAACACACAGCATAGCCCCGGCCGATGCGGCAAACAGTGGTCGCCAATCCTCACCGCTGCTTGTTGAGTGTCCATGACGCGGGCTCGTAGGCGGAGATCGCATGCAACGCGAGAGAAGACGGGCGGTATCCTGCGCTGTCGACACGCAAAACTCCATCGCCGACCTACGCGCCTCGGGGCCGCAGTATGGGGACATGTTATGGCGATGGAGGAGGAGACGCGCGTTCTGGAGGTAGATTATAGGTGCGAGCGACCGGGGGTCGAGGTATTGTTCGGACCGCGGTAGATATTGAGGAGGGAATGTGGCTAAGCAGGCGCTGAAGTGTCGCTCGAAAGTTTCCAGGGTGGCCGGGCTGATGGTTGGGCTCTTCAGGGTTCGTGACAGCTGTCCGATCGACCGGACAACATGGATGCTCGCGAGGAGCGAACTCGTTTGCGGACTTTCGGAGACAACCTTGCCCTCCGAAATGTACTGCTCATCGACGGGGCATGGAAGATCGACATCGCAATCCTGATCGTTGATCAGGACTGGCTTGCCCATCTCTAGCGCAAGAAGCCTGTGTGAGTGCATCAGTCTCGGACCCCGTCGCAGCGATTGGGTGTGCCTTACCGGTCCCAAGTGTACATCCCCCACCACACTCGTTTGCGCATCTCGCCCTCTAGAGGGGACCAGGGTCCCGACTCCAAATGCAAGCCAATCTCCTGAGCCACTCGCACAGCAGACCCAATCCACACCCAGCTAGCCGACCGAGAATTGGCTTCGTAGAGGAAGATACTGGCGAGTAGCGCCGCCCGCGCCTGATCCAGAGTGAAGTTGTCCTGCCATACATCAATGACCCCGCAGCAGATCTTCACAAACTCCTTGCCTTCTTGTTCTCGATTCCGTTCCAGGGTATGAAGGGAGCCGCATGCAAAGACTCCAAACAAAACGGCCGCCCATTCTCGAGACACACCTAAGAGCGACCCTGCTTGATAGACTTCCTCGTACTCCGCCACAAAAGTCGGCCAGTGAATCACCGGAAGGATGGAATGGATGCAAGAATAGTATTGACCGAGCAAGCGATTGGCCACTTCTTTTGGTGGGAGTTGTGGGGGATCCGTGGTGAGCAAGGACTTGGGGCCCCGTTGACGATAGGGAGGGGGCACTTTGAGGATTCCTCGACCGTACCTGCGCAGGTTGACTCGTGCCTCGGTCAGATCCTGCATCAAGGGCGCCTTTGGTCGGCGCGGGGGACGGTATCCGATGTCCGGTAGCTTCAGTTGCGGTTGGCCCGTTGCATCGATGTCGAGATCCATTAGATTGTCCGACCTCAGCATCCCCGATCGTAGCTGCTGAAGTTGCTGCTTGGTTGACAGCAGTTGCTTTTCCAGGTCTTGCACTTGTCTACCAGTCAGTTAGCATGTGTGTGGTCACGGAGGGAACCGTAACACGAACTTAATAGACGACATGCGCCTGTTGGTTTCCTTAGTGAATTGGCAGCGCACCTTGCGGTTGGTGCATTCTGTGCAACTGGACGACTCGGAGGCGTCACACTGGGCGGAAGGTCAATGCGAGAGCAGAGTAACAGGGCTACGGCGTAACCATACCTTGACCTTGCGCTCCCGACACGCATCGCAACTAGGGTCCTTTCTCCGCTGCCGATACGCCCTCTTCTGCTGCAGAGGCTGCTGTGATTGCTGATGATGCGGTTGCGGTCCAGCGGACACACCACCTACCGGCTGTAGCATTCCCGGACCCTGTCCGGAGAGTGAAGACGCATCGGCGAGGATCGAAGCCCCCTCTGCGGGCGAACCACTGGACTCATACGAACGCGAGTAAGGCGGAAGGGAAGTAACGGCAGTGGAGGGTTGCGGGGTTGGCAACTGTTGAGCCAAGGGTTGCAGCAGCTGGGACATCCCCATCCGCAGTCCACTGTCGGGTCGACTGGGCGGTGCGGAAAGCAACGAAGCCGCCGCGGGTGGTGGTGGGCCGGGCGGTTGAAGAAGAGGCGCTGGCGGCGAAGTCACCGCGTGGACAGGGGGAAGCTCATACGACCCTCCCGGCTGGTTCGGGCTAGTTGACGAGCGAAAATAATGCGCCTGCATGCCGACACCTGCAATGCAACCTCATAAGGCGAAGACAATTGATGGTGGAAGTAGTTTGCGCGCGCGCGCGCCAGATAATGGCCAGGCCCGTCCGGCTGGCTGGTGGAGGGGAAGAGCAAAGAACAGGAGGATGATGATGATGATGATGCGAGGCAAGACAGACAACAAAAACTTGACAAGAACAAAACCAACACCCTTCTCTTAGATAGATGCGACTCAGCAGTCAATAAGAGCGACACGGAAATTTTGCAAAATCAACTAGATCCCGAAAAAAGAGCGCAAAATTCCCGAGACGCCGACCCTCTAGAACAAGTGGGAGAGCGAGGGAGGGGGAGGGGAAGAGAGGGGCGATTATCCGCAATGGCGACGAAAGGTAAAATAAAATAGTAGCTGTATTCAATCGCACCAATAATGTATTGGGTCAGAGACTCAATGTTCCAGAGACATAAATAAAGTTGGAGCGATGGTCAACCGTGGGGACATCTAGTCTAGACGCGGTAGTGTTGCGGTAGTCCCTGGTGCGGACAGATGGATGTGTTGGAGTGGGTGCTAGTTTGAAGCCATACAAGAACTTAATACTCCCGAGGCCGACAGGAGGGGCTGCAGCTTTGCGGTGGGTTGCACCAAGAAAGGGATTCTCTTTTGCGGGAGGTTCGTCGCTGTACCGAGTCGTGCACATAAGCATTGACCAGAATGAAGGGATTGCGAAAAAGGTAGTGGGCTCCACGCGGAGAAGAACTGGAGAATGTTGCCACCACGCCAGAGAAGGGAGGAGGAATTGAAAAGGAGGGGAAGGGAGAGACGAGAAGGCAGAGAGACAGAGCAGAGAAGGAGAGAGAGAGAGAGAGAAGGAGAGAGAGAAAGGGGAAGAAGGCGAATTGCGGCAGAAAAGAAGACGACGGGGCGAAGAGACTGAAGAGGGAGCAAAGAATATAGACTGAGTGCATAACGAGTGGTGACGGGCTTCGGCAGTCATGGGCAGGAATGGACGATAAGCCCGTCGTCGTCCGTCATACTACAACTAACTACCACTACTACGACTACAAACTTACTGACGACTATAAATGACTGACTACTCTGCCTGTCTTTCTAACTTATTTTTCTAACTACGGACTACCTTCATGCTATGCGAATTGGGAGGAGGAAAAATAAAAGTAGAAGAAAAAAAGAAAAGAAAAAAGAAAAAAAAAAAGAA